CCCCCCCCCCCTTGAAAAAATCCTGCGTACGCCCCTGCTTAGATTATGTAGTTTGTATCAAAATTATAAACTGACGTAATAAAATTAATAAGGAAGATCAAATTCTGCATAATTATGTATACCCGTCTATTGATAATCAATTCTACTAATATGAGATGCACCACGGATCAGTAGCGCTTGTTAAAGATAAACTTGAGTTCTTGTGAAAAAGAAAATAAATTCTCACAGAATCAAACGAAACTTACACTGAATGTTCAAGATTACAAATTAAATGTCAATTGCCAAACAATTTTGGTAGAAAATGTATAATGACTGAGTAATGAGCATAGAAAGATAAGGAAATCAAGGTGTCGGGCCCGACACCATTTGTGTAGTCCCATGTACATCTTTCTGTGTAAAGTGCTTGTTACTTTACCAAGACTGGGCCAAATTCATTATGATTTTGATTACTCCAGAACCTTACAATACACACCAATACTAACATGATCAACCTTTTCTGATCCATTCCACACCTTTTCTTTCACAATGCAATCGCATGACTAGAACTCAACTTTATCTTTAACATTGAGGAAATTAGAATTTCTTTCTAAACTAGTAGAGCCAGTCCCTATAGTAGTACAGCTTTTTAAGCTGATAATCTTTAAATCCTTGAAACTATTTAGAACATTTAAGTTATTGACAATAACGTTTTGGTTCTAACCATAGCAATGCTTTCTTCTTTTTTTTAAAAATCTCACAGAGTCATCGATTCCGATTCTCGGAACTCTAATCCAATCCCACTCTATCCAGATATCTTCGATGGTTTGGTCAGTTTAACTGCTCTGTAAGTTACTTTTTTTCTTTCTCTCTTTCTCTTTCTTTCTCTCTCTCTCTCTCTCTCTCTCTCTTCTTTTCTCTCTAACTCTCTCTTTCTTTCTCTCTAACTCTCTCTGCCCCCCCCCCCCCCCCCGCAGTGGCGTAGCTTTGGTATTGGTATGGAGGGGGCACCGTCTTTACTCACTGGATGAATGTAAATTGACATGGCTATTAATCACAAGAAGGGTGCAAGCGTGTCGGGGGGGGGGGCGAATTTCCCTTTCCCCTTCATGTCCTCTTCCCCCTTGCTCGTTTCCTCTCTTCTTTTCTCACTCTTTCTCACCCTCCATCTATGCCACCTTGGACTCTCTCTCTCCATCTATCTATATTCACCGGAGTGTTGGCACAGTCAGTAGAGCGTCCGCCTCACAGCCGGGAGGTCGTGGGTTCGAACCCCGGCCGCGTCATACCAAAAGACGTTAAAAGATGGGAGTTGTTGCTACCTTATTTGGCGTTCAACAATAAGGGATAGAGCAACGTCGATCTGGCGCTGCTCAGTGGCTGCCGGGCTCACGATCAATTGGGGAAGAAGAATTTCCGTTTCGGTTTAATAAAATTTGGAGTGGACTATTAGGCTATTATTATTATTCTTATTCTTATTTATCAACCGACAATCAATCAGTATATTAATCGATCGATCGACCGACCGACCAACCAGTCAATCAATCAACCAATCAATCAATTAATAAATCGATAGTCCTCTCATCCTCTGTCTAACTCTCTCTCTCTCTCTCACACTCTCTCTTCCTCCTCCTCTCTTTCTCTCTCTCTCTGCCTATCTCTCCCCCTATCACTATTTTCTCTCTCTCTCCTTCTCTCCCTCTCTCTCTCTCTCTCCCTCTGTCCCCCTCTCTCACTCTCATTATTTTCTCCCCTTTGTTCTGTGACATAGGACTATAACTGATTATTCCAATTATTTCATTTGTTTAAAAAAGAATACTCATAATATTCATTCCAGGTACGCCTCAGACCCACGTTTCTGTTGCCTGAAGCCGGACAAAGTGAACTGCGTTCTGCATCAACCTACCCACCCTCTCTTCACTTGCCGTAAGACCTTCCTGCACAACTTCACCATCAAGGTGTTCATGTGGATCCTGGGAACAAGTGCACTATTTGGGAACTGCTTCGTCTTGGTCTCGAGGATGAGGAGTGCCCCTACGACCAGGGTAGCCAAGGTTCAGGCCATGATCATCACCAACCTGGCCGTGGCCGATCTCTTAATGGGCATCTACATGGTGCTCATCGCCGTGATGGACATCTACATCGGAGAGTCATACTTCTGGGAGGGTCGTGCCGAGGAGTGGAGGGCCAGCACTACTTGCCAGATTGCAGGGTTTATCTCCGTCCTCAGCAGTGAGACCTCCGTGTTCTTACTGACTCTCATCAGCGTAGACCGCTTCATCTGCATCGTGTTCCCGTTCTCTAGAAAGCGTTTTGGTGTTGTGTCCACCCGTGTTGCAATTGCGGTTATCTGGGTCGTGTCCGCACTCCTAGGCGCGGTTGGCGTGCTGCTCAACAACTTCAACCCGGACTCTTATGGTCTCAGCGATGTCTGCGTCGGTCTCCCTTTCATCCGCAAGTCGACGAACCTACGCGTAGGGGAGGATACACGAACCTCCAGCCAATACAACGGCGTATCGTTTTTCACCGTATCCGCAGCTTCGACAGTCTCCACCTGGAAATACTCCATCGTTCTGTTCCTTGGCATCAATCTCAGCAGTTTTGTCGCTATCCTCGTTGCCTACGTCGCCATCTTCATCAAGGTCCGTTTCGTCCGCGCCGAAGTCGGCCGCACCAACCAGTCGGCTAACGAGATCAAGATGGCCCTGAAGATGTTCTTGATCGTAGGAACCGACTTCTGTTGCTGGATGCCCATCGTCGTTCTCGGTATCCTGGTCCAGACGGTTGGGGTGGAGGTCACACCCGACATCTACGCCTGGTTGGTGGTGTTCGTCCTGCCCATTAACTCATCCCTCAATCCTTATCTCTACACTATCATTAACATGGTATCGAAATAACTCCTAGTCTTTTAACGCAGAAGAGTGGAAATTCACTCTTTTAACGCAGAAGAGTGGAAATTCACTCTTTTAGGAGTCATACTTTGTTTAGGAGTAGACTCTGCTCCGAATAATAGTGGAATCCACTCCAAAGTGATGGTTTATATTATTATTTTGAGCGTCGATTTACTTTGATTGTAGATACCGAAGAGAGTTTTGGGGGATAGAGCCCATCCCTTGGCCTGGATTCTTTTTAGGCCAATTTCGTTCTGTTTCAATATTTCCTGCATGATTTCTGGACAAAAGTTCCTTTTGGTGACATTAAAATGCATCTAAGATTTCACTTTACATGAAAAAAAGATGTAAATAGAAAAGCGTTTGAATGCACTGTAGGTATTTTAAGCTGCAAAATTTACAAAAAGTTCCAATGTCAAAAACCTAGTATTGCTGGGGTCGTAATCGGTGATAATGTTATAGAAGAACAAAAACTACAATTCAGCGTTCTCTGTATGATCCATAGTGCACTAAAATACACTTACCGGGTATTTACAAAAATGTACACATTTAGACACGATTGCTTGTGAATACCCCCATCAGCTTTGCGTAAAGGCCTAATAATATTTATCTTACATGAAATGGGAAAACGTATATAGGGATTAGCAGCAAGATAAATAAGAAATAATCACCAAGTACAGGCGCGGATCCAGGATTTTCCAATAGGGGGGCCGGAAATTCGAAATTCGCGCAGACCGTTATTTAAACTTACCAATACTGACAAGGTCATATTAGAAGCACTGTACTTTAATAGTGTACTGGTACCTACAAGCGGGCACAATTATTTTGGAAAGGGGACATGCTCACGTCACATCTCTTGTCCGATATCAACATTCCCCGTTTTCAAGTTATGCTCGCGCGCAATTTTTTTGACATTTCCATCAGTGGGGGCTGAAGCCTCTTGCCCCAATATCTATTTCCTGGTTTAATAATTTGGCGAGTGAGCGGAAATTTGAGCTTATGTATGTTGTGAAAAGTGTTAATTGTCACCAAAATATACGAGATAAGATATAACAAATGCATATTGGTAATTTTTAAATTTTATTGGAAAGAGAGGCTGCAACCCCATCCCGCATTAACTGCAGGTGTTTTGAAATCAAATCAGACTCCCCAAAAAAGTATTAACCAAAACGCACGAATCCTGTTTCAAAAATCCAAAAAAATGTCAGCTTCAGAGGGGGGCACATCACCCCTCAGACTCCCTCTAAAAGTATTAACCGAATCGCACGAATCCAGGTAAAAAAAAAAATCAGCTTCAGAGCTAGAGAGGAACCCCCCCCCCACACACACACACACACACACACACACACCCTGTGCACGCAAGCGTGAAAGTAACGCTGGCGCTAATGCGTAAGCAGGGGCGGCGGAGCTATTTCCAAAGTGGAAAGCACCAACAAAAAAGGGCACCTACAAAGCGAAATCTCAAAGCGAAAATATACATTTTTTCATTGTGATGCCATTATCAGGGACGATTTCAATATTTGTTTTTTCTTTATATATCATACAAGATATTGCTTAAGCATCACACTTTCGGCTGGGTGTGATTGTCTGAATATTTATTTACGAGCGAGCAAAGCGAGCGAGAAAAAATGTAAGATCTGTGAGGTCGCAGAGTGAAAAATTACATCTTATAAAGAGGAAAAAAACAAATCATGATGGGGTTATAAGCATCACGGAAGACTGAAAAAACATTTGTTTTAAAGTGACATATTGTATCATCTATAAATGCGAGCGAGCGAGCGACCTTTTTAGGGGAAATTACTCTTAGTCGCTTTAAATTAAGTGCAAGACTAATGATGAGCAGGTTAGGGGCACGTGCCCCCCCCCCCCCCGTGCCTACGTGCGAAAGGGATAAAGACACTTATTAGAAAAGAAAAGGAGCATGTGTCAAGGTACAAAGAGTAATTATCAAAGGTTCAAACGGGGCACTTCTTACACCTGAAAGGAGGCACTCACCAGAAATGAGATAGGGCACTTATGAGTATGGGAAATGGGCATTTGTTGACGGAAAAGGGGCATCCATCAGAAATTGATTTATCAGAGGTGAAAAGGGGCATTTATGAAAAGGAGATAGGTCCCTTATTAGAAAGGAAAAGGGGCACGATTCAAAATAAAAGGGCAGTTAGCAAAGGTGAAAATGGGCACCCATCATAGATGAAAATAGTACTTATCAGGAGGGGAAGGGGTACTTTTCAAAGTAAAACGAGCATCTCTCATATTTGAATAGGGGCAATTATCGGAGGTGAAGAGCGCACTGAAGTAAAAAGAATTAACTTCTCATATATGAAAATGGTCATTTACCAGAGATGAAAAGGGACACTTTTTATTTATGAAGGGCCTCATTTTTCTAAATAGCCCTTATCAGATAGGAAAGGGGGCACATGTGTTGATGAAATGTGTGCTTATCCGAGTTAAAAAGGGAAAGGGGCACTTCTTTACAAAGTAAAAGTGGCCCTTGGGGGGGGGGGGGTACTTAAAGAGTGGGGCGAACTTTGCCCCCTACCCCTGCCACCCGACCCATCATCTGAAAATCCAAAATGATGTTGTAGGGGCCGGGCGCGGCTTTATCATGAGTGCTTTTATGTGAACTTCTTTTTTATAAATATATTGTGCTGGATTCCGACCCAGATTGCACACTCTAAAATGATAGTATGATCATCCCAATACGCTTGTAGTTCACGTATGCACCCCTTCCTCTTAATCCGTCGTTACCGTCACTGCCATTTACGTATGGCCGGCCGGCCGGCGTATTTTTTATTTACGAGGGGAATTTCTCGATTCATTCCAATGAAACCGCTTAAAATTCCAATGAAACCGCTCGCGAAGAGTCTAGCCTAGATCGAAGAGCTCGCTAGTGCTATACGCTAGTGTGAATTTACATCCAGGAGAAAGTTTGCTTAACTTTTTCTTGAAACACTTGAACGGTTATGGAAACTGTTTGTGTTTCTAATCTCCAAATATTAATATAATTCTGCATCAAATATAAAACATTGATTTCTACTGTGATATGTAAAGGCACGAACTTACGTTAATACATACCCAACCAAGAAGGTGCACCATGTTAATACATTTTAACAAACACATCAACATGTTACCTAGACAACTCATCACCATAGCCATTGTAAAACCATAATGATACATGTAAAATATAGATTGAAGCAATTCTCGTCAGTTGGCTGTATCCTGAGTGTGATTTATATAATGGATTTTGAGTAACATTTGCATCTACCTGTAGTTGAAGAATAGATACAGTGTATAACATCAATTAAGTTGGAGTTCAATTGGAAGGAAGTAACGAGGAATATTAAAGCAAGGGAGACTGGGAGATGAGGAATGCAGGAAGTTAGAAATTGAGAGATTACTCGCGAGATAGCCTTGCATTAATGAATCCTTTATATAATGTTGTCTTGAGAGAAAGTAGACGATTTTTTTTTAATATTGGAGATTAGTGCAAGTATTAGATATATTGGAAATAGAATTAATGAGAAAGTTATTTTTTATCAAGATCAATACATGGGGGGGCACCATCAAAATAGGGCACTTTCTGGAATATAAGGTGCACCTACAAAGGGAAACATCAAAATGTAAATCTACCATATTAAGACATTGATAGACGTACGCGTAACGCATGTCACACACAGAAAAATGAGAAGAAAAGAAAGAATAATGTTTTTTTTTTAAAAGATAGAGGAAAAGGAGAGAGACAGAGAGAGGGAGAGAAAGAAAGAAAGAAAGAAAAAAAGGAAGAACATGAAACTTAACTTTACACTTAGGCCTACATATTACATTTCCGACTGAGTTGGCTCAACATGTGCTTAAGTAGTCTGCGCACGAAAGTACAACAATACGAAAAAAGTTATATGAAATTGTCTTTAAGAAAGAAAGAGAGGTTAAATTCTAAAATGAAATGAAAGGGGTTATGTGACTCTCAAGGAGGAAATTACAATTTCTATCGCTCATGACGACTATTTGGAATTTCCTAAATTTGTTTAAAGTTCAAGAACTTCCTGGGGCTCCGCCTCATGCAAGACTCCCGGCAACAGCAAATTATTTACACAATTTCTTGCTGTCTGCTGCCTCGAGATCACTGGAGCGAAGAAAGGTAACATATAGCAAGAATCCCTATTCAGTGAAGGATTTATCCCTTTTATTATTAAAGACTCCCGACAAAGGGAGAGAGTTTTATGTTTAAGCTTCTACCAACCACGCCCGTGGACCTTTTATTATTTACACAAAGGTAAAAGTATATAGCAAGAATCCCTATTCAGTGAAGGATTCATCCTTTTTATGCAGATGCTTCTTCTACCATTCTTGACCAGAAGTGCGTTTCAAACTCAATGATATGGGCATCATCCCATTGAATGTTGTGTCCAGTGTTACGGGTTTGTTTTGCTACTTGCTGCCTAATCTGAGGGCTCTGTTGTGCTCTTTAAAAAGAGGACACAATAGGGGCAGCGCAATTTAAATATCAAGGAATGTATTAGAGTTTATTTCTAAAATGAAATGAAAGGGATATTTGACTTTCAAGAGCGACAAAAACTCTAATCCATCCCTTGAAATTTAAATTGCACTGCCCCCATTCAGTGTCCTATTTTCAAAGAGAACAAAAAGGCTTCAGATTGAAGATTCCATCTCATAAAATTGTCTATAAGAGAGAAAGAGAGCCTTATTTCTGAAATGAAAGGGCTATTTGACTTTCAAGAGCGATAAAAAAACTCTAATCCATCCCTTGGAATTTAAATTGCACTGCCCCCATTCAGTGTGCCATTTTCAAAGAGCACAAAAAGGCTTCAGATTGAAGATTCCATCTCATAAAATTGTCTATAAGAGAGAAAGAGAGTTTATTTCGAGAGAAAAAATGAAATAACCTCTCTTCTTCTCTTATAGACAATTTTCTTTCTTGAAAGTCAATAACACTTTCATTTCATTTTAGAAATAACCTCTTTTTTTCTCCTAAAGACAATTTCTCTCTTGAAAAGGCTCTGCCAGGCCCCTCAAGCTCTGCCATGTTGTATGGATCCATTAGAAAGCAAAATAAGCCCACTCAATAATTAATATATATTAAAACGCCATAGCGATTCATCCAAATAAGAAATCCACGTAAGAGGCATTTTGAAAGTTTTAAGAAAATTTCTTCAAATTCCAGGATATTGGATGTTATTTTTCGGGAAACTCTATTTAAACGAGTGGAAGCACTGGCGGTTCTGTTTTTTTTTAAACTGTAACAATTCTCCTTGGATCAGATATAGACCAAAACAAGCCTCATCATCTTCAGTATACAAGTGTCATTTCGGACCTTACAGCTTTCATAGAAATCGCTTCTGGACCGTCAAAGAAAAAGTTTGAGAACCCCTGGTCTACGCATTATACACATCAGGACCAACTTGACAACTTGACAAAAATTTGAGGGGGGTTCGACCCCCCCCCCCCCTGCGTACGCGCCTGCATGTGCATCCCTTCCTCCTTATTCCCTTATCCATCGTTACCGTCACTATCATTTTAGTAGGGCCGGCCCCCTCCTTTTAACGACTCCCAAGCCATCAAGAATGACCCCATAATAATCCATTATTTATGGATTACCATTCTGCCGTTCTTTGGAGGGGCTGGGCGCGGCCTTTTCAGAAGTGTTTCTACACTAACCTTTTCATGCACTCCGGCTTAACATAAACAAGCATGCTAAGATTTTTTTGAAAAGAAGCATAATTTAGACTCAATTTCGCATAACCTAAAAATAAGAATACGGCCAGTCACCCCTCCCCCCTCCCCTCAATGCATCCGCCTTTACGCACCCCCCCCCTTCCCCTTGTCTTTCCCTTATTCGTCGTTACTGTCACTAATTTTTAGTGCCATTTCGTTGTCTTTCTTTCTCCCCGGCTCCTCTCTTCTTTTTCTTTCCTCTTTTTTGAACTCTCTCTCTTTTCTTTACTTTTTTGTTCTCTTTTCTTTTATCTTCTTCTTTTTTTCCCCCATTCCCCCCCCCCCCCTCTTTTTTCCTTCTCAATTTTTTTGCGCCGCCAATAGGGGGGGGGGGGGCCGCGGCCGTTTCGGCCCACCCCTGGATCCGCCACTGAAGTAATTAATAGACCATCAGAATTAAATGAAATAGGAAAGTGTATTTCTAGACAATTTTCGACATGATATCTTGTGAGGCAAGCACACGTAATGCAATAGAATGCAAGATGATCGTTTTTCTTGAAATTCTTCAACGTTTTTCCAACATTCTGAATAGAAAACGGTGCGATGTAAGGCTTTTCTTTAAATGAAAATATATGCCGGAATACGTGTAGGTTCTAATTTGTCACTATAAATATTATGAAATATCGTAATATTGTAAACAATCTCTTGTAAATATACAATGTAATGTATGGTTTCTTTAATATCGTCACGTATCGTGCTACACAATCATAAAAGTATGTATTTGTACATAGTTATATAGGACTATAGCTCTTTTTAGTTGTAAGATATCTTAGTCAATGACGATGTTTACTTATTTATTTAAAAAGGACAACTTTGTCCCAAGATATAAGGTATTTCACAGCTGATACAGTCGTATCTTGCAGATAAAGATACGACTATTGTATTATAGTAATACAAATACTATTTATGACATGTTGTGAATACCGGGGCAGATGTGGGCTAAGGATTATAATCCGATATGACACGTGTTGAAATATGATGGAATATGGTGATGGAATATAATTATAAACAGAATCACTTACATAGATTATTTGATGATATTGACTACACATTAACGAAGAATTTAGTACTAATATACAGATGCTGCACATTTTGTCTTTAATGTAAAATTGTGATTGAGGAGAGAATAGAAAAATCTAATAAATATTTGCACCCAAGACAACGCTGCGTGGATTTGTGTTTATTATGGTTCATTACATTTGCTGAAGTTTTTTTCATCAATTCCTTCTTTAAAAAGAAATTGTAATATATACTTACAAGGACCGTGGTTCCATTCCAGACTCATGGCAGGTCATAACATTTTACAGCACAATACAAAATATACAAACGAAAAATGAAAGAAAACAAACACTCAGACAATGAACGCAAAAACAAGGTTTGAATGGAATGTTAAAGGTTTTGGTTTTACTTCTTCATAATATATAACATGTAATATAATCTGAATAAAGCAACTTATTTTCATATAAAAGCTGATTTTTTTTTTCGTTAATAATCGTCATAATGTGTACCGTCAAAACTTTATAAAACGTTACAAGGAATGAAAAATTGAGTTACGCGAACAAAATACAAAGTTATAGGTCTATTAAAATGTATTTATACAGTATATATATATATATATATATATATATATATATATATATATATATATATAAAAGAAACTAGTCGAAGAAGATTATGAAAAGGTACATTTTGAAGCATGATTAGTATTCAAATCGACTGAAAGTTGGCGACTTCGGCATATCAAATATGAATATATTGTTGGCCCGGAAGCAATCATTGCCTCCACCCACCCCCCTCCCAAATATAAAACTGAAAAATCATGAATAAAAACTGTGCTCTTAAAAAGAGGCTAAAATCCCCGGTTTAGAACGGATGCATCTCATATTCATTTTCAAACCTTTCAGTCCCAGTCACAGAGATCTATGAATAATTCATGAAGGCGGGTCGATTGAGTTCGATCGTGAATTGGCCATTTTCGTACTGTAACCAAATTTATGCATATGCCTTTGTGAAGTGTCTCGATACGAATTATTTCATTCACCTGTTACGAACAAAATAGTATCCCAATAGTCTAAATAGAATATAAATAACATAAATTAGTTGTTGTTGCTAGTGGTTGCTATGTAGGACAAACATTTTGGCTCGCCCTACCCAACGGCACCTAATATATCGAATTTGCAATCTGACAATCGAAATACAATTTTTCGTTCTAGGTGAATGAAATAATTCGTATCAAGACACTTATGAATTTGGTTACATTACGAAAGTGGCCTACTTAATGCAACACTGGATTAGTAAGTCCATTTGTGGAGGAACATTGGTGCAACTGGTTTTGCTAATTTGTTTTCTCGCCGATCGAATTGGAATCTGGTGTCTTTGTAAGCGCATATCTGAATGAAAGAAATACAAACATGATAACATGATGATGATAATTATAATAATAATAATAATAATTATAATGATAATAAGGAGAAGGAGAAGTAGAATAATAAGAAGAAGACTTTCGATGAGAAGACTTTTGATGAAATTTTGTTGAGTATTCTTGTTTTTTTAAGTATCGATTGGAATAGTAAATTCATTATTTTTGTTTTGTTACGTTTTCTAAACTGATTTATACTAAAATGCTTTGTTTAGCTGTTTAAGGGGTTAGGCTCGACTAGCACATGTGCTGTTATCTGGCCCCTTTTACCAACCAATAGTTTCTCTTCTTGTATATGTAAAATCATTGTATGAAATGTATTGCTGTTGGTAAATGAATCAAATAAAAATCATATAAAAACTACAACAAGAAACAATAATTATGATTATTAGTAGCTTGGTATTATTATCATCATCGTCATTATCACAATCAAAATTAAAATATACCGATAAACACAATAAGTAAAATAAAATATATGTAATACAGACAACCATCAAAGTATCAGAATAATTTCCAATTGCCCGAAAAATAATGTTCACATGCATTGGCGTAGCGAGGGGGAGGGGGTTTGTTTGGGGTGTTCAAAAATACACCTCCCCTTAAAAAATCCTGGCTACGCCCTTGTTTGCATCAGTTGTTCATACTGACCTGACGGCAAAGAAGGCGAAGGCATGGACCACAGCCATAATGACGAACACGAGACCAGGGCGTGTATCAACTGATGAGGCATATATACCATTGTATATACCACCCAAGATGGGCGTGGTCAAGGTGTTCAAGAAGGATCCTAGTGCCATGAATGCACCTTTAAAAGATGCAGAGGGGAAAAAAATAATGGTTACCATATGTTATGATAGTAATGAGGATGATAATGACGATGGAGGTGATGATGATGATCGTGATGATCCTGCACATATTATTACACAAAGGTATTCTCAAGGGGCATGAAAGTATTATTCATTTGTATCCATATATTTAGGCTAGCCGCCCTGAGGTGCTGAAAACATTCCAGACGCGAAGCCAGGGCCCCGTTGCATTAAACTTATCATTGGTGGTACCTTTGGCATCAATATGGCAACTACCATGGTAACAGGGCTCAACAGCCAATCTAAATCAAGGTTTCCATGGTAGTTATCATTGATGGCAAAGTTACTATCAATGGTAGGTTTTGTGCAACGGGGCCAAGGGCGTGTCTTTACTGAAGATAAGAGACACATAATTACCACTGTAGATATAACCCAGGATGGGCGTGGTCAGGGAATTTAAGGATGTCCCTAGTGACAGAAATGCACCTTGACAATACAGAAGGAAAATCTTGATGGGTAAGGGTTGGGAATAATTTCTGGCCAATTAAAAATACTTGGTGATAATTGTTGACCACGGAGCAATTGTCACTGGAACATGGTGACTCACAATGTCACAACCAAAGTTGGCTTAGAGGTCGTACGACAGTATGCTCCTGCCATAGTTGGTCCGCCATCAATTCATTGCTACCTTTATTTCTGGACCAAACACTAAACATAACACTAACCCCAAATCTAACCTAAAACCAAATTTTAACCCTAACCCTGACTTTGAAGTAATAAACAAAGCATGGAGCAACATTATTGTCGCCAGAGCACCAACAACCATTTTTTTTTAACAACTTAACCCAATATCTAGGCCTGTTACATAATACTCTTCTCATCAATAAGCAGCGTCCAAACACTAGACTTCAGATGGCTTTCCATTGGCCCCGTCGCATAAAACTTACCATAGATGTTAACTTTGCCATCAATGGCAACTACCATGGTAACAGGGCTAAACAGCCAATCAAAATCAAGGTTTCCATGGTACTTACCATTGATGCCAAAGTTACCATCAATGGTAAGGGTTGTGCAACAGGGCCCAGTGGACTCGAGAATGTCTCAGGAACAGTAATGTGACATTCATAATGTGTTTACGAGATTAAAATGAAAAGAGGGTAACAGATTACCAAACATTCAAGATAACCGTCAATCTTACCTTTCTTACTTGGGCTAACCAGGCGAGACACTATGGAGCCATTCGCTGACTTTGACGGAGCTCCGATCAGGACAAATATGGCAGCTAGGAGATACAACAATAACATTTGAAGGAAAAAAAAACAAGACTTAGTACATTGCCACCACACAACCTATTAATTGAAAATCTTATTTTGAAACATAGACAGGTATAAGACCGCAAAAATGCAATCAAAAGAGATGATGAGCTATTGGAAATTACCTTTGAGGAATTGTATCTATCAGGAAAGACATTCTACTCAACAGAACATCCTACGGCATCTCAGTACAATGAAAAACACATTGGACTATAACTGACACTTTCAACGTAGGTGTAGCTGATTCTTTTACTCTGTTTAGGGGGAGGCATTTGGTTCTGCAACTCTGCCGAAATCGCCACTCGGCGATGCTATATTCGCACACTAGGGTATTTCTTAAATTCAAATTCCGTCTGGACGACTAGACAGTGTATGCCACTTACCAAACATCAGGAGCTTTGTAGACGTAGCATAAGCGGTAAAAAGACAGACCAATATGGCAGATATTGAGCCGTACTGGAGCAGCCTGAAGTCTTTCTTGAGAGAGCGCTCGCCAAGCAGACCCAGGACGACCCCGGTACCGACGGCCTGGCCGATGATGCCCATCAGGCTCTTGAAGGCCGAAAAGATACCGTAGAGCTTGGGCGACCACGCGAAGGGCGCTCGTTTGGTGTACAGGAGAAGCAGGTTAAATTCAACTGAATTCGGGAAGAATACAATTATCAGGGACAAAAAAGGGAAACTTTTAGAAGTCAAGTTCATGACGTTCTTATACAAAACAAGCAAACAAGCACATAAAGAAAATTCGGTTGTCAAATCATAAAGCTCGTAGGTTAATTTGCATAGTATTCATTCATTATTAATTTCTAGAAATATTAAGTATAAAATGAGTCTCTGGCATAATAGACACATTATTAACAAATGAACATTACCATTCAATATTCTTTGTGCATGGCCATGAGGACTGACGACGTGCTTCCTCTAATAAGTTTTTATGAAAGCCCAGAAGAAAGATATTCCAATCAAGTAATATTATCTAAACATTCTGTCGACATCTATTAATTAGGTGTTGTTTTTTTAACTCTTGCATAATGGGAAAGATAGGATTATCCTCACCCATTGATGATGCATTACCGATCATCCCTGTAACCAACACAACTATAAGAACTGTTCGAAATTGGCGATTCTCTTTTGATGTGAGTACTTGGATTCCTGATGTAAGGCTACTCCAGACGAGTTCGATCGAATCCATGACGACGCCCAGACGGCTGTTTTTCCTGTCCTTGATCTCCTTGACGACGCCGTCATTGCTCGATGCGGCCTCATCCTTTGGAAGAGTTTCGTCGATGAAGAGGTAAACGATGGCGACGACGAAGAACTGGGATGCGGCGAAGAGGAGGTAGACTTGAGTGATGGAAAGGAATTGAGGAAGGATTCCCGAGGACAGCATGCCGACGATCATCCCGAGACCGAAGAAAGGCATGATGCGGCTTATACGCACTGCTCGCTTCTCCACGGGAGTGTTGTCTGTGATGATGTTCACAGCGGTGGTCATGAAGGTCTGTATCCCTCCGCCGACGCCAAAAATGAAGCAGCTCATGATGACCAAGGGTAAGGACACGACCGGGACGATGGACTGCACCACTAGGAAGAGACTTACGAGAAGCGAACCGCAGCATGGGAACATCAGCACCCGCTTCCGGCCGATCGTGTCACTGAGGGCGCCCAACAACAGTGCCGCGATGGCTCCAGGGATATCGGTGAAGATGGATTGAAGGGTGAGAAGGCGTGAGGAAACCATCTGCACGTCGGACTCTGCCTCAGGGTTCTCGGAGAGGTTGTCACAGACGTCCGTCCTGTAACGTTCCAGGCAGAGCCGGTTGATGATCATGTTTTGCCAAATGGGAAACTGCATGGTCAACCCGGCAATGTAGAAGAACAGGACCAACTGGAGACCGCATTTTCGGAATCCACTCCCGACGATGTCAAGGATTGTCATTTCTATAATACAAAAATAACAAATATATTGAAATGGTAAATATGATGAATGGAAAACATCGAGTACATAAAACATGATCACGAATACTCATCAAGAAATCAATTAACCCTAAAAAGGCCGGGCTATTTGAGGTCTTAGTACGGCCGGGGGGGCATTATGGCCCCCCCCCCTCCTTAAGATCTCGGCCGCGAAAATGTGCACGCATGTCAAGTGAAGTGTATAGAATAATATGATAATTTCAACTTTTTGAAAAATTTACTCATTTGCATATTTATGCAAATAAAGTCATACAAATCACATTTTTACCCATAAATCATATATTATTCATATTTAAGCATTCTTTTTCACTACATAATTCATTAGACAATTCTGAATAACAATACGACGAAAAAATTTGGAAGAGCCAGCTTATTCCTTATGTTATCCCTTGTTTTGATAATTTCTTATGTATTTCATGGTTTTTTTAACTTATGTATTTCATTGCTTTTGTTGTTTTATTTCATTTCTTACAACAATTCAACTATTTTGACTCCCAAAACAACCACCTAAACTTTAAACAAGACCCAATAACTCATGTTTGATCTGTTTTTAGGAAAAATGACTTTTCCATATGTTTTGTACACAAATCAAGAAAATGAGCGATTTTCGGCTGACATGCAAAGACAAAAGGTGACGTGACCTTGTAACCGTAGGTCCGATTTTCAAAAATCTTTTAAAAGTTGCGCAAGACTCGAAAGAAAAAAAAAACAGCGAGCGGCGGGGCGCCATCCATATGCGTTCCCGAGCAATCGGAAAAATCGTGGAGGCCCCCACCCCTGGCCTTATTAGGGTTAAAGGGCAATTTCAATAATCTGTTGTATTGTTTATAGAAAGCATGTCGCTAGCATAGTTCACAATCACGAGTTGACGTCACAATAATGCGCAAAACGGCGAGGCTAGCGCCGAGCAGAAACTTTCATCCAATCAGCTTGCGGTAACTAACCACTAGTTTTGTGACGTCACAATGCTTATAGCGCATTATATTCTTTTCATGAAATGCGTTGCTAAATGCTTCATTCTTATTGAATTACCCTTGCATACGGACGGTCTTTCCATCTTGCTTGCTTCACAATGCCAAATCGATCTATGAGAAGCTAAGGCGTGACCAAAGTTTTCCGAAAATTATTCTGCTGTTTCCGAAGTAAGAATTGTAAATATACACACGTTATGTTGAAATTTCATATAATCCTTTAGTTTTAGTGTTATACTTCAGGGGCGGATCTAGCTTTTTGCCAAGGGGAGTGGGGGGGGGGGGGGGGGGGTTGACCCAGTGGCGGATCCGGGATTTTCCAAAAATCGCACCGTTTTACTGTTTTACGTTTTTTTCTTCTTTTTTCTTCTTTTTTTCCTTCCCCCCCCCCTTTCCCTCTTTTTTCACTTGGCCTCTCAAGGGAGGGGGAGGGGGTTAAACCGCCGAACCCCCATCTAGATCCGCCCCTGTACTTCACTCTTCGATAGCGACGATGATGAGGACTTTATTCTTGATCGCTTTGATCGAGAACACCACGACGTGATAGTCATCTTTGGTGTTTGGATTTGTCAGTCACGGAGATCGAAAACGATGTTGTTAATGACAATCAGTCAATCGGTGAAATCATTGTGCTTCAATATTATTATCGTTGAGAGGTTTCCAAAAACTAAGTTGCCTTGAATAATAAAGTCCGTTGATATCAACAATCATTTGTGTTGAGCAAGGCGATGTTGCTTTTCGTCGTGGGTATGTACACGTATAGTAAAACATAAATTTAACTAAAGATTATTCTGCCCTTTTTGCAAACGTGACGATGAAGTTACACTGCAGGAACAAAACGGATGAGGAAGGATGGATGAAAGGAGCAAGGGTTGCAAGGGCTTCGCTAAAACATCTTGACAGGGGGCGAGTGTCAGATCATATTTCCCGACAATTAGTCGAAAATCCGTCGTCGAAAATATCCGTGTAAACAATAGTTTCATTGGATTTGTCGAAGAGCATGCATTGAAAACCTAATTTGCTTACACAAATTGTGAATGTGGTGTTGACACCCCCCCCCCCCCCCCCCCTAAGTTCTAGCGACTCCACTGATCGGAACTTAAGAGACGGGATATTTGTTGGAATGGTACCGTAATTTATATTGACCATGAATGGTATGGATTTGGTTAAAGTTTTACAATGATTTTACATGATGCATCTAGACATTCGACCAAAGAGATCCCTTTTTATTAATCTGGATCTGCGGTCAAGAACTACAGAGACGTATAACTACCAATCTCATGAACTTGAGTAGACCCATTGACAATTTGCTATATCATCCATGTCTCGATTCTTCTCTCTCCCCTCTCTCTCTCTCTCTCTCTCTCTCTCTTTCTCCCTCTCCCTGTCCCTCTCTCTCTCTCTCTCTCTCTCTCTGTTTACGTCCCTCTGTCCCTCTCTGGAAACATGCACCACAAGTATAAACGTGTTTCACCTCAATTTTGACCCCCGGATACCACATTAAAAATCGTATGCATTTCCACATACATGTATATTAACGCTCAGACAATATTAAAGGTAAAGACCAGTATTGGAAACGCCCCAATTTCAAAAAATGAAATGGAAGCTCTCATTACCATTTATGTGAAAGAATATGTTTTGACTAATACATGATGATAAAAAATTTGCTGGGAAACCGCCTACTAATTCATATATTTGGTAAATTTGTTTCTCTCATGGTCTGTGAGAGATATAGGGTAGTCCCATATACATCTTTCTGTGTATAGTGCTTGTAACTTTACGAAGAATGGGCCAAATTTCTTATCATTTTGATGATTCCAGAACCTTGCAGATGCTAGATGATAGATTTTTTTTTTTTTTTTCATAGGTTTTTATTCGTTTCTCTCAAAGAAAAATTGTACATTTATAACATTGGATACAAAATAACAAAATAATTTAACATAGGTCTTTATAAATTTACCAATGATCTTTTACATTTACATACAAAAGTTACACCTCTTCATTTTCCTTTGGAGACAAAAAAAAAATTATATATATAAAAAAGGGAAAAAGCTACAAAACACCTACTACCCCCCCCCCACCCCACACAACATTTAAACACATAACATGTACAACAGTATACAAAACACACGTTAACATAGAACGAGCAACAACAACAACAACAAAACAAAAAAAACAACAAAAAAAAGAGAAGAGAGGAGGGTCAGGAAGTTGTATATTGAGAGAAAAAAAAAAGAAAAAAAAAAAAAACTGAAAACATTTATTCTAAACTTTCCAAAGCTTCCCATTTCCTTAAATGAATTGAAAGTGTGTCTCTTTCCATTGAAAGTTTTTTCTCTTCATTTCTATTTTCCAACAATCTATATTCTATTTCTTTTGCTTTTGGAGGGTTTCCCTTCTCTCTACTGTGGAAAATCATATATTTAATCAAAATTAAAATGTGGTTCAATAATTGCTCTGTTTTAAAAGTAGTGTCATCTATTCCTATATGAATTTCTTTCCAGGATAATTTCTTCAAAATTGGTAAATTAAGTCTATCTTCACATTTCCCCCAGACTTCCTTTATTGTATTACATTCAAAGAATACATGTTGATAAGTTTCTTCAAAATTTTTGCAAAATGAGCACAAACCATTTTCATGGAACCTGAATCTATGTAAATGATGATTTGTATATAAAATATTATGCAATAATTTGAACTGAAATTCTCGCAGTTTACTACTTAAGGTACACATCCTTGGTTGAACATATATCTTTTCTACTTCTTTTCTTGGAATATTGTAAAGTGTCATTAAATTGCCGCCTGCCGAGTTTGTTTCTACATTCTTTTTAATTTGACTCTTATATACCATTTTTGCAGTTAAATCTTCAAATGTAAACACTTTCTTTGTGTAACTGTTGTCGATCACGAAAACCCAATAAATTCAGTCAGACACAAGCTTTTACGGGAGTTGTCAATCTTTATTTTACGTCTCCGTATCCATCCATGTAACTCCGTGAAAACTGTATGACAAAGACAAAAATTGCAAGTATAATAAGTAAATATGCAAATGAATCTAACCACAACTGCAATGCTTCAATACGTTACCAAATAAGGAAATGAGCATTTATATCGATTACAGTTTCGATCGATCACAGAATCATCTACGCAAAATAATCTTGGCTATAAACCCTTGCCAATCGTTATAATCATTATGTCATACAATTCATAAGGCTTTTATGGCTCCTTGTAACTTGACAGCCTAACTAAATTGAATCAACTCTAATAACAAAAGAATAATGACTTTTCATTGCCCCACATATGCCTTTCTATGTAAGTAGAAAGTGTAGATCCTTCCAGACCCTTCCTTGTAAACTTCATTTATCTTTGTCCTAAATTACCCTAATACAAGTACTTTCATAACTATGATAAATGAAACCTGTCTCATACAGTCATAAGTCATATATATCAGTCGTTACTCTTTACCTTATACAATATTTCATAAATGGTTTTACCGTTCTACGTAAATTCCTACACAGTCGCACATTACACGTGTACATGAACGTATCGCTACATACAGCCAGACTTGGCTTTATATCCAAATTAATCTTCATAATCCTTTACATAACAGCACTTAATTGCAAGCAAACATCATATATATAAATATACTGACCTCTGTGCCCTTTTGTGAACTGAATATCCCTCAGAATACGAATTTTGACAAATCAAAACATTCGGTAACAAACAAACTCAGCTTGCTCCATCGAACCAAAAATCAGCTGCCACTAGAGGGCGACAAATTTCTGAGCAAGTCAACGTCATCTACACTTTGAAAAAATAAATTCTAAACTAAAGCCAGTGTGAATTGCTTTTCTTAAAGGTTGAACATTCTGTTTCCATTCATAAGGGGCTACGTTATAAATTTGTTTTACTTTATCAATTTCCACTCTGCTCAAACCTAACATTATAAAATGAGCTTCAGGTTTCATTTCTCCATTTTCTTCACAAATGTGATGAATTCGATATATATTTTTCAAAAACAAAGTTTCCTCAAATAAGGTTTGACCTTCTAGTTGAATAAAATTATTATTATACAATATTTCATTCCCTTTGTATCTCTCTTCTGTTTTAACATATTCTTTCATATCTATCCATGCTTTCAGAAGATTCTGATAAAAGGAAGGTAACATAAGTTTCACTGTATCTCTCCAATAATTGCAATAAAATATTAAATTACCTCCTATCGGTCTCATTAAATATTTAAAGTATTGTTTCCACTTGATATCATGAGTTCCTGTTACAAGCCTTTTTATCCACATTATTCTTTGTGCTTTTACAAACAACCTAAAATTCATCATTTTGAGCCCACCCTGCTGATAGTCTAACATCATTGTACTTCTTTTAATTTTATCTTTACCTCTCCACAAAAAATCAAAACATATTACTTCCATTTCTTTGTATACCCACTCTGGAACCGGCATTAGTGATGTTACATATGTCAATTTAGAGTATCCATATACTTTCATCAATTGAATTTTACCCATTAAAGTTAGGTCACGCTGTTTCCACCACGTCAGTAGTTTTTTAATTTTGCTCAATATTTCCTTATAATTCATTTTTTCCTTGATATCTACATGAACTGAAAAATAAACACCTAATATTTTAACAGCATCTACAAGTTTCCCAAACGGAAATGTGTTATTAGACACCTGTGGGCCCAGGGGCAGAATATATGTCTTATCCTTGTTTAACTTTAATCCTGATATTTTATAAAAACCTTCTAAAACGTGTTCTATTTCCTTAACTGAACTCATATCTTTGATGAAGAGTGTTATATCATCAGCATATAATACTTGCTTTATTTCTGTATTTCCAAAACAAATTCCTTTTACCAATTGATTATTTCTTATCGTATGAGCTAAAATTTCAATGCATAAAATGAACAGGTATGGAGATAATGGGTCTCCTTGTCTAATTCCTCTTTCAACTTTAAAATAACCTGTTGATGCGTTTCCATTCATAACACAACTTTCAGTATTAGTATAAAGTATATTCACCCATTTACAAAACAATGGTCCAAACCCAAATGAATTTAAGACTGTGTATAGAAAACAATGAGAAACAGAGTCGAATGCCTTTTCAAAATCTAAGGCCATCAAAAAAGCATTTTCCTTATAAAAAGAAGTATGAAAAAAATAGATGATCAACCTTTTCTGATCGATTCCACAACGTTTCTTTCACAATGCAATCGCATGACCATAACTGGTCTTTACCTTTAACATACTGCAGATCCCCACACATTTATGGACCTACTGCAAATTCTGTAACATGTTGTACAGTCGTGCATGATTTCTTCGTAAAAATAGATTGATTCTGCAAGGAAATTAAATACACACGAATGTACAAGTACTTACCGATTTCTATAAAGCCCCCTAAACCACAGTTCTGTACACACGTATCGATGGACCAACTTACTATGAAACTGAACATTATGTCTATGTAGTGGTTTTCTAGTTCTGTATAGAAAATGCACCCAACTGTGCAATAGATCCTAAACTAAACTAAACAGAGGTTTCTTTTTAAGCAGACACCGGGAGAAAGAATCGATTGTGCACACTTTTCTTTTCTTTCAAATTTTAGGTAAAGCCGGTAAATATGTATTGTTACGTATTTGCTAAAACCTGGTCAGTTAGCCAGGAGTTATCAATCGTACAACATGTCTGCTGGGCTGCCTCTGTGTACTTAAGAGTGCTAGGAATTAGTTAGAACCGCAACCTTACAATACTTAGCGCGTGAAGATGATTTTACCGTCTAAGAATCAGATAGGCTTATGGGGTTTTAGAATAGGTATTATAATAGGTGCTATAGCTTTGCCCTGGGTAAAGGCGATTTTAGTATTTAAAAAAAAATCTAAAACATAAGGAAAGGGCAAATAAAGTAATATTAAAATAAAAGCAAAATCATAACGGTAAAATATCGTCATTACAATGTCAAATGAACACAACAAAACGGACAGATATCAACATAATCAAATCATTGGAATACTCCTTCGATGTATATGCCTATATATTCTGTTTCTGTTTCGGTTGCGTCGGTATACTCAAGGTTAACTGTACTTCACCAACGTTGTGATTAGTATGGCCGTGTATGTGCTATGGAAGGAGAGGTGTTTCACATTTGAAGTTTCTGCTTGAAGACTGCACTGGAGGTAGACATGACTGTTTCTTCCTTGAGTAGGTTCCATTCTGCTGCTGTCCTGTTGAAGAATAGGGACTTTTAGATTCGCACGAAGACAATGGGGATTGCTAAGATCGACGCCCTTTTAATGCACTGCCTTGAATGGACGTCACAAGTATCAGTCCCTAATGAGTACTTGTGTACGTCCTTCTTAATCAGAGTACCCTCTGGATTCTTTTGCTGTTCCCTCTAGTAATTGTTCTTCCCCCTCTGTTGTTGGTTTGAATGTATGTGTCAGCCTAGCTTGATTCCCACTTCTCCGTTTATGATCTTGTTCAAGAGTTAAAGTTAAAGCAATCCTCCTTCGATATAAAACAATTGAAATAAAAATCCGTTAGAGTTCTCTTCTTCACTATTGAAGATTTTCAACATTTAATTTTTTTATTCTATATATTGATTGGCTGTATATATATCTATCTGTCCTCATTTTTCTAGTTCAGTATGCTGACATCTACCTTCCCATTCCCCGACCTTGCGATCACGGATACAGGCATGGAAAACAGGTGTATTGATTTCCATTTCGTGAGAATTCAGTTCAAAACAGAGGGAAGTATAGCTCCTTAAATAGATTTTGTTCTCGTTGATTATACTTCCGAAAGGATATGACGGACATCTGTTTTGAGTGACATCAGAAATTGAATTGATAAACCATTTGACTAAGGTTACTTTCGGTGTTGATATATTTGATAGGATCCCGTCAAACTGTGTTATTGTTGAAGGTTCTTGATTGGCTCTCATACCAGAGGTTCTGGATTCGATCCTCGCTTGGTGGTATATAACAGGCTTTGACAAGGTGTTTTGCCGTCCCGCCCTACTCAGGTGTAAATGGATACCTAGCAATGATGGGTAATACTGTACCTGCCAGGTCCATAGGAAGAGCGCCATGTACAGGTGCGGATCCAGGATTTTCCAATAGGGGGGGGGGGGCCGGAAATTCGAAATTCGCGCAGACCGTTATTTAAACTTACCAATAATGACAAGGTCATATTAGAAGCACTGTACTTTAATAGTGTACTGGTACCTACAAGCGGGCACAATTATTTTGGAAAGGGAACATGCTCACGTCACATCTCTTGTCCGATATCAACATTCCCCGTTTTCAAGTTATGCTCGCGCGCAATTTTTTTGACATTTCCATCAGTGGGGGCTGAAGCCTCTTGCCCCAATATCTATTTCCTGGTTTAATAATTTGGCGAGTGAGCGGAAATTTGAGCTTATGTATGTTGTGAAAAGTGTTAATTGTCACCAAAATATACGAGATAAGATATAACAAATGCATATTGGTAATTTTTAAATTTTCGGGGAAAGAGAGGCTGCAACCCAATCCCGCATTAACTGCAGGTGTTTTGAAATCAAATCAGACTCCCCAAAAAAGTATTAACCAAAACGCACGAATCCTGTTTCAAAAATCCAAAAAATGTCAGTTTCAGAGGGGGGCACATCACCCCTCAGACTCCCTCTAAAAGTATTAACCGAATCGCACGAATCCAGGTAAAAAAAAAATCAGCTTCAGAGCTAGAGAGGAACCCCCCCCTCACACACACACACAAACACACACAGACACCCCCTGTGCACGCAAGCGTGAAATTAACGCTGGCGCTAATGCGTAAGCAGGGGCGGCGGAGCTATTTCCAAAGTGGAAAGCACCAACAAAAAAGGGCACCTACAAAGCGAAATCTCAAAGCGAAAATATACATTTTTTTAGACATTGGTATATACCCTTTCATTGTGATGCCATTATCAGGGACGATTTCAATATTTGTTTTTCTTTATATATCATACAAGATATTGCTTAAGCATTACACTTTCGGCTGGGTGTGATTGTCTGAATATTCATTTGCGAGCGAGCAAAACGAGCGAGAAAAAATGTAAGATCTGTGAGGTCGCAGAGTGAAAAATTACATCTTATAAAGAGGAAAAAAACAAATCATGATGGGGTTATAAGCATCACGGAAGACTGAAAAAACATTTGTTTTAAAGTGACATATTGTATCATCTATAAATGCGAGCGAGCGAGCGACCTTTTTAGGGTAAATTACTCTTAGTCGCTTTAAATTAGGTGCAAGACTAATGATGAGCAGGTTAGGGGCACGTGCCCCCCCCCGTGCCTACGTGCGAAAGGGATAAAGACACTTATTAGAAAAGAAAAGGAGCATGTGTCAAGGTACAAAGAGTAATTATCAAAGGTTCAAACGGGGCACTTCTTACACCTGAAAGGAGGCACTCACCAGAAATGAGATAGGGCACTTATGAGTATGGGAAATGGGCATTTGTTGACGGAAAAGGGGCATCCATCAGAAATTGATTTATCAGAGGTGAAAAGGGGCATTTATGAAAAGGGGATAGGTCCCTTATTAGAAAGGAAAAGGGGCACGATTCAAAATAAAAGGGCAGTTAGCAAAGGTGAAAATGGGCACCCATCATAGATGAAAAGAGTACTTATCAGGAGGGGAAGGGGTACTTTTCAAAGTAAAACGAGCATCTCTCATATTTGAATAGGGGCAATTATTGGAGGTGAAGAGCGCACTGAAGTAAAAAGAATTAACTTCTCATATATGAAAATGGTCATTTACCAGAGATGAAAAGGGACACTTTTTATTTATGAAGGGCCTCATTTTTCTAAATAGCCCTTATCAGATAGGAAAGGGGGCACATGTGTTGATGAAATGTGCGCTTATCCGAGTTAAAAAGGGGAAGGAGCACTTCTTTACAAAGTAAAAGTGGCCCTTTGGGGGGGGGGGTACTTAAAGAGTGGGGCGAACTTTGCCCCCTACCCCTGCCACCGACCCATCATCTGAAAATCCAAAATGATGTTGTAGGGGCCGGGCGCGGCTTTATCATGAGTGCTTTTATGTGAACTTCTTTTTTATAAATATATTGTGCTGGATTCCGACCCAGATTGCACACTCTAAAATGATAGTATGATCATCCCAATACGCTTGTAGTTCACGTATGCACCCCTTCCTCTTAATCCGTCGTTACCGTCAGTGCCATTTACGTATGGCCGGCCGGCGTATTTTTTATTTACACGCTAGCGAGGGGAATTTCTCGATTAATTCCAATGAAACCGCTTAAAATTCCAATGAAACCGCTCGCGAAGAGTCTAGCCTAGATCGGAGAGCTCGCTAGTGCTATACGCTAGTGTGAATTTACATCCAGGAGAAAGTTTGCTTAACTTTTTCTTGAAACACTTGAACGGTTATGGAAACTGTTTGTGTTTCTAATCTCCAAATATTAATATTATTCTGCATCAAATATAAAACATTGATTTCTACTGTGATATGTAAAGGCACGAACTTACGTTAATACATACCCAACCAAGAAGGTGCACCATGGTAATACATTTTAACAAACACATCAACATGTTACCTAGACAACTCATCACCATAGCCATAACCATAGCCAAAACCATAATGATACATGTAAAATATAGATTGAAGCAATTCTCGTCAGTTGGCTGTATCCTGAGTGTGATTTATATAATGGATTTTGAGTAACATTTGCATCTACCTGTAGTTGAAGAATAGATACAGTGTATAACATCAATTAAGTTGGAGTTCAATTGGAAGGAAGTAACGAGGAATATTAAAGCAAGGGAGACTGGGAGATGAGGAATGCAGGAAGTTAGAAATTGAGAGTGTGTGTGTGTGTGTATTGGGTTTTTACAGACGTGTATCAATCAGATATGATTATTTACGTCTGGGACCGACCTTTAAACGTCACCATCCGAAAGACGTGACTCAGTTTCGAACCTGCGTCCTCGGCTGAATCAGTTTGTAACTTCCACTTTTTAGCTGGATTACAGGCGCACGCCACAACGCCTAGATAGCCTTGCATTAATGAATCCTTTATATAATGTTGTCTTGAGAGAAAGTAGACGATTTTTTTTAATATTGGAGATTAGTGCAAGTATTAGATATATTGGAAATAGAATTAATGAGAAAGTTATTTTTTTTTATCAAGATCAATACATGGGGGGGGGGGGGGGGCACCATCAAAATAGGGCACTTTCTGGAATAAGATGCACCTACAAAGGGAAACATCAAAATGTAAATCTACCATATTAAGACATTGATAGACGTACGCGTAACGCATGTCACACACAGAAAAATGAGAAGAAAAGAAAGAATAATGTTTTTAAAAAAGAAGATAGAGGAAAAGGAGAGAGACAGAGAGAGGGAGAGAAAGAAAGAAAGAAAGAAAAAAGGAAGAACATGAAACTTTACTTTACACTTAGGCCTACATATTACATTTCCGACTGAGTTGGATCGACATGTGCTTAAGTAGTCTGCGGACAAAAGTACAACAATACGAAAACAGAAGTTATATGAAATTGTCTTTAAGAGAGAAAGAGAGGTTAAATTCTAAAATGAAATGAAAGGGGTTATGTGACTCTCAAGGAGGAAATTACAATTTCTATCGCTCATGACGACTATTTGGAATTTCCTAAAAAATTTTAAAGTTCAAGAACTTCCTGGGGCTCCGCCCCATGCAAGACTCCCGGCAACAGCATATTATTTACACAATTTCTTGCTGTCTGCTGCCTCGAGATCACTGGAGCGAAGAAAGGTAACATAATTATAGCAAGAATCCCTATTCAGTGAAGGATTTATCCCTTTTATTATTAAAGACTCCCGACAAAGGCTCTCCCCCTGCAAAATTGGAGAGAGTTTTATGTAGTTTAAGCTTCTAACAACCACGCCCGTGGACCTTTTATTATTTACACAAAGGTAAAAGTGTATAGCAAGAATCCCTATTCAGTGAAGGATTTATCTTTTTTATGCAGATGCTTCTTCTACCATTCTTGACCAAAAGTGCGTTTCAAACTCAATGATATGGGCATCATCCCATTGAATGTTGTGTCTAGTGTTACGGGTTTGTTTTGCTACTTGCTGCCTAATCTGAGGGCTCTGTTGTGCTCTTTAAAAAGAGGACACAATAGGGGCAGCGCAATTTAAATATCAAGGAATGTATTAGAATTTATTTCTAAAATGAAATGAAAGGGATATTTGACTTTCAAGAGCAATAAAAACTCTAATCCATCCCTTGAAATTTAAATTGCACTGCCCCCATTCAGTGTGCTATTTTCAAAGAGCACAAAAAGGCTTCAGATTGAAGATTCCATCTCATAAAATTGCCTATAAGAGAGAAAGAGAGCCTTATTTCTGAAATGAAAGGGCTATTTGACTTTCAAGAGCGATAAAAACTCTAATCCATCCCTTGGAATTTAAATTGCACTGCCCCATTCAGTGTGCCATTTTCAAAGAGCACAAAAAGGCTTCAGATTGAAGATTCCATCTTATAAAATTGTCTATAAGAGAGAAAGAGAGTTTATTTCGAGAGAAAAAATGAAATGAAAGGGCTATTTGACAAGAGCCCTTTCATTTCATTTTAGAAATAACCTCTCTTCCTCTCTTATAGACAATTTTCTCTCTTGAAAGTCAATAACCCTTTCATTTCATTTTAGAAATAACCTCTTTTTTTTCTCCTAAAGACAATTTCTCTCTTGAAAAGGCTCTGCCAGGCCCCTCAAGCTCTGCCATGTTGTATGGATCCATTAGAAAGCAAAATAAGCCCACTCAATAATTAATATATATTAAAACACCATAGCGATTCATCCAAATAAGAAATCCACGTAAGAGGCATTTTGAAAGTTTTAAGAAAATTCCTTCAAATTCCAGGATATTGGATGTTATTTTTCAGGAAATTCTATTTAAACGAGTGGAAGCACTGGCGGTTCTGTTTTTTTTTAAACTGTAACAATTCTCCTTGGATCAGATATAGACCAAAAACAAGCCTCATTATCTTCAGTATACAAGTGTCATTTCGGACCTTACAGCTTTCATAGAAATCGCTTCTGGACCGTCAAAGAAAAAGTTTGAGAACCCCTGGTCTACGCATTATACACATCAGGACCAACTTGACAACTTGACAAAAATTTGAGGGGGGTTCGACCCCCCCCCCCCCCCCCTGCGTATGCGCCTGCATGTGCATCCCTTCCTCCTTATTCCCTTATCCATCGTTAACGTCACTACCATTTTAGTAGGGCCGGCCCCCTCCTTTTAACGACTCCCAAGCCATCAAGAATGACCCCATAATAATCCATTATTTATGGATTACCATTCTGCCGTTCTTTGGAGGGGCCGGGCGCGGCCTTTTCAGAAGTGTTTCTACACTAACCTTTTCATGCACTCCGGCTTAACATAAACAAGCATGCTAAGATTTTTTTTGAAAAGAAGCATAATTTAGACTCAGTTTCGCATAACCTAAAAATAAGAATACGGCCAGTCACCCCCCCCCCCCCCTTCCCCTTGTCTTTCCCTTATTCGTCGTTACTGTCACTAATTTTTTAGTGCCATTTCGTTGTCTTTCTTTCTCCCCGGCTCCTCTCTTCTTTTTCTTTCCTCTTTTTTGAACTCTCTCTCTTTTCTTTACTTTTTTGTTCTCTTTTCTTTTATCTTCTTCTTTTTTTCCCCCATTTTTTTCCCCCTCTTTTTTCCTTCTCAATTTTTTTGCGCCGCCAATAGGGGGGCCGCGGCCATTTCGGCCCACCCCTGGATCCGCCACTGATGTATGATGTATCTGGCTACCCTAATAACCCATTGTGCATTACAGTTACCGGTATTCTACCCTTACCAGGCATATCAGGCCGCTCTCATCCCCCATCTCTCTCTCTTTCTCACCCTTTCTTTCTCTCTCTTACTTTATCTCTCTTACCACTTTCTCTCTTCAATAGTTTACCCCTCTCTCTCTCCCCCTCTCTCTCTCTCTTTTTGATTAATTGTTCTCTTTCTCACTCATCACATCGTTTCCACTCACAGATTACTTACTTTTTTCAATTATACATGTACTATCAAATTTCATACTTTTCTATCATCTATCTTACATAACTACCTAATTATATCAAAATTATCATAACCATATAATTTACATCACAAAAAGGAAAAACAATGAAAACATCTTTTACTAAAAATCCAACAATTAGTTTCACATGCAAGGTTGTTTTATTGCAGAATAAATGTCTTAAAAAAACAGAAATTTCACGAACGACTTTGTCGCAAATACTTTTACAAACAGAAACAAAAGCCATACGAATTTCATTAAAAAGGAAAGTATGAATGTCTCTAAAATTCATAATTAAGATATGTAACATTCTGATATACTATCTCTGTGAACGCATATTACATGTACACATGAGATTTTCAGGTAATGTTGTTTTACTTTGGTTTTATCTACAGTGCACTTGGTGCAAAACACATTTGACTATATGCATATACGGAACATATCTTATACTTTCTTTCCTTTCTTCTTAAGAACATGTGACACACAGAAATGATGACGGAAATGATTACCTAGTATGAAAGAAAAAAAGATATAATGAAATGGTATAAATATTTTTTTCTCTAAGACACAAAATGTTCACCTACAAAAGTGATAAATGACACAATTATACGAGTGATCCTTAATTTCACTCCAATCTTACAACCAACAGTTTACTTCATTACAATCATGACATTTCAAATTGTTCACATTTCTCTTGGTAAACAAACAGCAATTTGCTTTTTGATCCGATTTCATCACTTCATGCGATAAACCATATATTTGTTATAACATTAATATATTACATATCATTTTGTACAGAATATCCTTGACACATGTAACTTAAACAAAAGTATTATTCACTGTTTTTTTAATGATCACAAAAAATTCTTACATAGTGTTAATAGACATGAGACTTTGAAAAAGTATTATTTACTGATTTGTTGTTATGATGACGAATAATTCCTACATAATGTTATTTGACACGAGACTTTGAAAAAATGTTATTTAATGATTTTTTTTGTTATGATGACGAATAATTCCTACATAGTGTACATGAAAAAGTCCAAGTTATTTTGTCCAAAACATTACAGATCACATCTAAGATTTAGTATATCGAATGACTATACCAATCTGATAGCCCTAATAGAGCTTGAATCAGACAAATTATCAAATGAAAAGATATACTTTGCTATCAATTAAAAATTCATTAATACTCTGTAACGTATGGGACTTTCATATAGGACTTAACCCAATATGAAAAATCAAGATCCAATCTGAAAATAACAAAAAATAAATAAATAAAACAAAAACAAAGAATTGGCGGGAAAAGTTTTTCTCTAACTTTGTGAATCTCACCCCCCATTCCACAACACCTCACACCTCAGTCACACCAGCGAGACCGACACCAGACCGCCAACAGACCAAACAAACACTGACATTACCTCGAATGGCCAAGGATCAGTCAGTTTGGGGTAGGTGTGGAAGTGTTACTGAGGTATTGCTCAGACAACAGCATCATGAACTATTAATGGCTACGGGAAGCATAAGGAGTTGTGGAACAACAGCTTTAGAGATGCCTGCCATGCATACTGTTTCACAACACACTATTTCGGCCTTGACTTTTCACTAAAGATGCAAATTTGATTATAAATATAATAATATACAATATGCAAACATTTTCACAAATATAACTTCATGAGTTGATATAAACTTACTTCAAACGAATTCTACATTCTTCAAATTTACGAAGTTTGAAATTTCAGTTTGGTGCTAGCTGTAACTTTGCATCAAGTGTCTTTAAAAGTGAATCTTTTAAAATATCCAATTATTAAATCAGTATTAATAATCCTTGATGAAAATCGCCAACGATGAGTAGTAACAGTAGTAACAGATATGAGCACATGCAACTATACACAGATTGGTCCCCATGATAACTACTTTCAATAAATGATATCTAATATTTGAGAGCCAATCGAAAGAAAAATAAAATGTGAAAAATACTGCAGTCAAAACTTTTTTAATCACACCACTCACTACCCATAAATGATTGATATATTGTCAGCTAAGATATTGTGGAGGTGACATGGTCTAGTGGATACACATGTTCATCCCAACCAAAGCACATTTGCCACTCTCCACCCAGGTGAAGTAAATGGGTACCCGCTAGGAAGAAATTCCTTGAATGCCAGAGGGCTTTGTCAGAGTAGCTTGGTCAATGCAGTGGTAATAATATTACAGTATTTAGATGCATTAATATTAAGAGCTATATACATATTGCTATTGTCATTATTATCACAGTGATATCAAATAATCCAAAAAAAATCTAAAAACATTCAAAGATTGAAGTTGGAGGATGTTAAGGTGATAAAGGATTTGATATTAAAGCCGCCACAGAAGAGCTCGGAGTGAACTTCCAGGCACAAGATATTACATCAGCTAGCCTACTCACACATCACATTTACCTACATGATCTAAACTGCATACACATCTCTAAATCTTAATAAACTTGCCAATCTAGTTACAGATCTAATAGTTAAAACTGATATTTGAATGTAGTACACTGGCTTGGAACTCCAAACATATAGAGCAACAAAATAAAAGTTGATGATCTTTCTCCTTTAAGACTGACAGTTTCTTTGCAAACACATTAATAGCAATAAAGCAGTCATGGGAATGCAATCATTGCATGATCTCACTACTTTGCTGACCCGCTGAATTTGTATTCCTTGAAATGCCTTCTGAATAGAAACTCAAAATCAGATCAAGATATCAACTGCTGAGTCAACACCACTGTCTCAGTGACATAATTTAGACAAAGTATCTAATGATGTCAGGGTTTAAAAACTTCTCTGTTTCTTATCTAGTTCACAATAAATGATTGCTTATGATTGCGGTCTCCTGCACTTTTTCAACAGATAGTTCGGATAACACTTTAAATTTATGATAATATGTTATGGAAATATTAAGTTTCGTTATCATATGTACATATGTAAAAGAAAAAAAAAAATTTGACATGAAGTAATTAATTGTATACAGTATGTTGTATTATACCTTACATTTATATGTTCATTGTTATTCAGTTATATTATATTTGGAAAAATGCAGAAATCAAATCAAATCAAATCAAATCAACAAAAAAATCAACAAGAATTTATCAAGCCATGAAAAGAAGCAAGAAGCAGCATTTTTTTAAGTACATGTACACATTTATAAGCTTTACATGTCAGTCTTAGAGATTAAAGGACTTTCCAAGCACTCTCCTTTGCCTTCCAAAATTCATTTGAATTTTGAAAACCTAAAATCAAGGTCACCAGCTGACAAAAAGGCATTTGAAGAAAAATAACTCTTCAATAGTGAAATTTCTTAATATTATCTATGAAAAAGAAGTACCAAGCATAAGTACATGAAATGGGATTTATATATTTCATTAATGAAATTACATGTGATAATAATGCATCTGCCTATGTATGTACTACATGGTTACTAGATAACATACAACAACAACGACAAACAATCATAATATGGAAATTTTAAGTGCTAAGCATGGAACCTGATACCAACACCAGAGCTCTTCATTTAGGATAACGCTAGTCCTTAAGAAGTTTCGGTGTGATCTGAATTTCAAGTACAAACATTTGCTTTTAATAGCTTGGCACACAATCTATGCTATGCAAATAATGTAGTACAATCCACTTAAAATGTGGGCATGTCCAAGCTGTTTCTCCAATAATTACTAATGACATATCAGGTTTTAGTGACTGGTCATTTGTATATACCACATATCAGGATTCTAAGGCATCCGATTGGTCAAAATTGCAAGCATGAAACTTGGTACTGACTGCTGGTCAGTATAGTGAAAAAACTATCTACTTGCTCGTACAATACAAAGATGCAATGGTTTCACGTGAGATTCATAATGGATACACGCATTGAGTCACATGCAATGCTCTTAGTCTTAGAGACGGTAAATTTCCCTAGACTCTACAAATAAATACATTTTGTTTGACAGGCATAATTTGACATAATATCTTTTCTTTGAGGATAGACAAGGGGAGGCGGTATATGAAAAAAATATTGACTGTTTATTTTTAGATCAGTTTGTTTGTTTGTTGTTGTTGTTGTTGTTGTTGTTGTTTTTTTTTTTTTTTTTTGGGGGGGGGGTGTCAGTTAAAACTAAAGCTCCTTAGTGATCTCGAGACTGCACTATGGCCCTCGACTTCATCTCGGGGCACAGTACAGTTTAAAGATCATCCTAGGCAATAGCTTTAACCGTGCCCCTCAAACACAGTCAATATTTGGCAGGTTTCTTCTCAATGAATCTATACTACATTCAAAACTCCATATTTCGTGATGGGAGACGTAATGACCAGATACCTACATGTAGCTAGGACTTGCCCCTTTCCTAATACACATTATTAAATTTAACCCGTTGACAACTGAATTTCTCTCATTGCCATAGGCTTATTACATAAACCACCTGGTTTCAGGAGGCAGTGGATTAAAAACTTAAAATGTTCTTGTCTTTTCCTCAATCATGCCATAACTTTGAAAATGTTCTCATTAAACATTTTCTTGATAATTTTATAATTTTTCCTTCAAATGTTTGTTTGTAATTCACAGACTAGGGAGGGGAACCTTTTCATTTAGGGAACCTTTTTTTATTTAGGCTACCCACATTTTACATTATTTTACCTTGCCTGTCATATCTATATATTTCAAAATTTCGTACCTATTTTCCATACATTATACTTGATTTGAAATCTTTCATTTTTTTTTGTGTGTGTAATCTACGCTTATACGCTTGTATAAAAAATAAAAATTGTTTTTTTAATGTAAATGTGGAACAAATAAACTTCAAACTTCAACCTACTTAACAGGAATTAAATTCCCTGTGGCTATCCTCTGCTATTAGTCTGTGGTATTCTTACATCCTTTGTCTCTGTACGTTTTCGTTTCTGTTTAACTATGTCTGGAAATTGAATAAATTAAAAATAAGTTATAAATAAATACATTTCGAAAATGTTCTCACACAAGGAAACAACTGGGAAATGTAAAATTAGAAGCTACAATCAACAAACGGTATAACAAAATGTGGTGTCTTATTTCAGGATCATATGGCCAGCTTTAAACAAAAAAACTGCCACAAAGGTCAAAGGGTAATGATTTCATATAAATAGTACTGCATTGAAAAGGGACAGGTTACAGAGGGAAATATAGTTATGTATTCTTTACTTCTGTCTTTCATACTAAACCCTGTAACATAGAATTGTCTCTACGCTATTTCAAGGTGCTTTATTTTTAAGAACCATTTTACACTGGGTTAAGCCTTGTTCATAGTACGATGCCATAACCTGCCTCTAAATATTCATTGCGGCAAAATAAAACTCCACATTTTTACTTCACATTACTGTACCTTATTACACTAAAATAACTGAATATGCTTAGGAGATTTTTTTCCCCACACCCACTTGCCTTTCAAATGCTAAAAGGTTTTTAAATCTTAATTACATGATGTCAGCTTTTCAAGGTAATTAACCACAGGGCATTTCAAAGAATAAATTCTACCAGATTGATACCTATTTAAGACACTGGGTTCTACAGATAATAAAAACCCAAGAATTTAACCCTCATTCTCTCGAATGCACATCAAGTGAATGATCCAATCCAATCCAGGAATTTATAAAGCGCCAATATCTAGTTGCCTGATCAAAGGCGCTGATGAGACTGAAAAACTACCAAAACTGTCTATTCATGATTCTAACTGATTCAATATCAAGTACTTTTATAAATACTACATCTTGTACCAGTTGTTGTTGACACAAAATAAAATGTATGTATATATATATATATATATACATGTATATATATATATCAACAAGGAAAAGCACAATTAATTTTACTTCATCATGTGATCATCATCATAATGTGATGGCTGAAGCCAAGATGGAGTTCCTTCTTTGACGACAATTGCTCTTTTCAATCAATCATGAAATAAGGATTGTCTTCTAACTTCAGGGGGGTGTTTCACAAAGACTAAGATCAACTTTAAGTTGGACCTAAATATGGCAGGCAGTTCATAATAATTAAATAATTACAGTGCTTATATAGCGCCTAACACTTACTTTGTCAGAAGTCTCTAAGCGCTCTACAATAATGCAGCATAATTACCCTGGCTTTAGCAGTGCAGCTGTTACGTGCGCTGCGTTTCAAGGAATAAATTCCATTATGATCTTTAGATAATATTTTTTCCTTCAATAATAAATTATCAAAAAACGTAAATTTGGTAGATTTGTGACCATGATTTGTACCTCCCTTGTGAGACCAATGCCAGTAAATGGTGAGAGCAAACAGTGGCATGAACGGCCTGCCAAAGTGAAGATCAACTTAAAGTCGATCTTATTCTTTGTGAAACACCCCCCCCCCCCCCGATTAAGATTACAGGCATCATTATCCATGGAATTGTGGGGGTGTCAGCCCTTTTTGGGGGGAGGGGGGGGGGGGGGCAGGGCAGCCTCCAGCAGATGGCATCTGACACAAGTTGATCATAGGCTCTATAGCAACGACCATTTCCTACAATTAACAAATAAACCATTACCTTCTATGATGGTGCATTTCTGACTGCAATTGCCATTTTAATAGACCTAGGCAGATTTCGGACTGCAATTACATTCATGAATCTGCCTAGATCTATATCCCAATTTATCTACAGCTGCGGTACATTTAATGATGAGAATGATGAAAATATAGAATGATAGAAGGCAATTTAGCAAAGATTATTAATGCAAAATTTCCAAACTTGGTTACTCTTTTATACCGTGTTTACTAGTTCTTAAATAAAATCCTAAGGTTAAGTTTATATTACTTGCAGAGTAAAATAAGCTTGACAAAATTCTTCTATCAATCAAGTTTGCTCACTTGAACCTCCCAGAGAAAGTAAAAACAGTCAAAAATTCAAAATTAAACACATTAACAGTGCATCTCACTAAAACCTTTAAAAACTTAACCTGTTGATAAAGACAAACTACTTGTTATGTCTCCCTTGAGCCATCTTTATTTACAGGTTTAACTGAAAATGGAAAATAGGCCGATGTCGTATCCCAAGGTAATTGCGATACAGCATCATGGGCTTATTTCTATTCAATTCATTCATTCAGAAAGAGCATATTACTTGATGTGACCGGGACTACTAATTTTTTTCTTTCTGGTAAACATCTTTACCTACCGTAAGTGATCAGTAGCTAAGATGTAGGCACACGACCACAAAATATGGAATTCCCTGGAGACAAAAAAAAAATCTCACGTATAGAAAATATTCCAACTATTATTATAAAATGCACATGGTAGAGTACCAATCATTGATCACTTATACCAGAAAACGATGGAATACATGAAAGGGTAAAGGATGCAACTCCATCAAAACACTTTTTTGAGTAATGCAGAACACAACTTGCGAATTTGACAAGTTTAAGAGACAGAATGTTTTCGTCTTTCTAAGGAACCTTTAGTACATGAACATAAAAACTGCATTGTCTCTTAAAGTTACTAAAATAGTTATTTTTCATGTCATAACTACAAACAATGATAATGTTTGAATAGATTTCTACCCTTCTCATATATTCCACTGTTACCTATATAATTTTCCCAGTTTAATTTTGCAGCTGGAGTCTATAACACACACAATGACATTCTAATACAGGCATCACTACCTTCCTTTACATTTGGCAATTTTGATCTCCCTATCTACGTGCTCGGCTGCGTCATGTCTCTCCATCGTCTTCAGTATTGTCAGAAGCTTCTCCAGCACTTCTATCTTACCTTTCGTCCCATTCTTCAAGAAGAACACTTCCAAAAGTTTCCTCGTCACCCCCGTGCGGTTCTCCTCCAAGTACCTGATGTGGGAGGTGCTCAGATCCAGGATCTCCGCAAGAAATCTCCAGTCGTTCCCCCTGACGTCGAAAGGGTCCAGGAGCTCGCAGATCTTTATGAATCGAGTCACTGAGAGCATCTGGCTGGCGGCTTGTCCGGGGTTTAACTCTGGGGACAGCGACTGCAGGATCTGTTCACAACTCAAGTTCTCGTAATCCTATGAAGTTAAAAGTAAAGTTTATTTAATTTAAAGGAGAAACAGATCTCAATGATTTATCTCTGGTAAATGAAGCAAATTTGTTGAGTACATATATTTGCGATATAAAGGGACAGACAACAATTTAGCTCTGCAAAGCTCTTTTAGAGCTTTTCAGAACGAAAAAAGCCAAAAAGTTGTGATCTATAGAAAAAGTGTGTAATGCCAAATGGAGGAGGGAGGGGTGGGGGGGGGGGGGGGGGGTGGGGGCTCGACTCCCTCTCCCCCTTGATCTGTCTACATTATGTCAGGATTCCCATTAACCAAATGATGAACTTCTGAAAGTGACTAAAAATACCGGTACTCAGTTTTAATTACCTGTGCAGGATGAGAGATTGTACGTTGAAATTGTGGGAAGCCGGATGGTGCAGCCATTGAAATGGGATGCTGTAAACCATAGCCACCTGCATCTGGATACTGCAAAGGTTGATATTGCATTGCTGCCACACTGGACTGTTGCTGGTAAATCGAATGTGGTTGTAAAGTTGCAGGGAGTGGATTGGTGAGTGACTGGGCTGGGACGATGTGAGAGCCGTGTTGTGCTATTGCACTACCACTGAGCTGAGACATACCAGCAACACCTTCCGGATGCTGCGATGGTTGGTATTGCATTGCTGGTAAACTCACTTGTTGCCGGTATGCTGCATGTGGTTGGGAGGTTGTTGGGGCCAGAGACTGATGTGGTGGCATGCCACTGTGATCAACCATGTGAGGAGTGTGGTACCCAGCCCCAGGGGCTGTTATGAGATGGGTGCCACGTGTTGCAGCATGCTGTACCTGCTTTCCTGCAGTGGTAGCAGCAGCACCTGGGAGAGATATTTGTGTGACACCCACATCAGACGTTCCAGCAACAGGGATGGGTGGCAAGACTGGTGACTGGTTGTCAGAAGGCATCAAACATGCCTCTTGTTCTGGCACCCTCTGTTCAGGTAGGCAAACAAATACAAAAGTCCTATGCATCAATAATAGTGCATTAATTACACTAAAAAATAGTAACACAAGGAAAAGAAAATAATTTCATAAGGTAGAACACCTGGCCTGTAAAACTTAATGATGACCCCAACACCTACATAAAATCGTAACTTAGGCAAAGGAATTACCAACTAAACATTACCATGATGATGACCCCTGCACCACAAGATTAATCCAGGTGGCTATTTATCACGATTTGAACCAGAACAATTCTCAATATTTTTGGAGGTAGTTACAGGGGGAGGGAGTGTTGTCTGGGGATGGGTGGGGGGGGGGGGGGGGGGGGGGGGGGGGGGGGGGGGAGGGGGGGTCAGAGGCATCTATACATAGAGGTTGGCCAGTGTCGTTTCAGTTGATTACAACATGGCAAATGTTCTTTTGTTTTGAGCTAGCCCAACAAAGCAGTATTCACCATACTGTGCCCAAGTCAAACTGGCTTGGCCAAACTCTCCTAATCGATGGCACTGGGGAGGGGGTTGTCTGGCTTGTGATGAGGACAATACCCCACACAGGTTGAGTTGTTAAGGCCTGGTAATTGTCTATAACTTCAGACTACGGTACTAGTATTCCTTAAGGATGGCAAAAGACTCTCGCACAGACGCACATTACTTTATGTTACGTAATGTACTGATCACCTTCAGTTTAACAATCTTGTAAATACTATCCATTCATGAAAAACTGGTTAATGTAACAATAAGTTAACATTGAATGCTATGAATAATACAATGGAAGGAAATCAAGTCATGAACAAATACTTACATCCTCATAGAATTTTGTTTTTCCTGTAACATAATCTTTTATTTCCTAAAATGTGTACCCCGGTATGTAAGATATAAATAAATCAGGGTAATTTGATGTCATTCTATTTACCTGTACAGGAGGTTGCTGTGCAGCAGCACCGGTTTGATATGACTCAGTCTCATGCATAGGCATTCTTGCTGGAACTGTGCTAAGGGTTGGTGGGGTCGAGGCCATCTGATGAATGCAATAGAAAAAGATATAAAATCACATCATGTTGCATTATTACATCGCTTTATTGTTGCAAACTAATGACTGACGTTTGCACAGTATTTTTGTTTTTTAATAATATGTAGCATAATCATCTTTCTCTGTACTTTTAAAAATAAACAAGATCATTTAATATGTAATATTCAGGGCCCCACCTTCTTTCTCCCTCCATCCTTTCTCTGTTTCTCTTCCTCCCCCATCCCCCTTCCTGAAAACGAATTGTATTGTGGTACCGTTTAAATGGCAGGTGGCATTATGCGTAGATGATGTATTTCGAACACCTTTACAGGAAAATGTATACTAATCAATGAAGAAGAAAAAAATCTTCCAGTGGTGTTTATTCATCATTTTATTAATTTGATAGAGGATGATAATGCAAGGCTTAAATTAATCCAAGGCCACCAAGGCCATGGCTGTGGATGCCCCTTGATTGGCCTCAATGCCCCTCTCATTGGCCTTGGAGTTTTTTTTGTGCCCTCTCCAATTCTTCCTATTTGTGCTGTAATATAGGAATGTGCCCTACAGAAAAGTGGCCTTGCCCTAAAAATATTGAAATTAAATGACTAAATCAGTCCCCATACTTGTCAATTATATTATGCGCTTCTACATTGTAGATTCCTTCATTTTCATACCTGATAGGAACTTGTGGTAGGTATGCCTGCATCTACAGACATGGCTCTGCTTGGTGTCGATGATCTAGCTGCTGCAGCTTCCCGAAGCTCCCTGTCCAGGCGCTTCTGAACATCAACCGACCTCGTCATGACATTGTCAAAGAATTGACCACCCCACTCGACATGCTGAATGGCATCCAGTTCCGGGGGAAGCTCGGCACTGTCGAATATGATCGGCAGAACACAATCGGCAAACTCTGTGTGTGTATCTCCGTACTGGATGGCAGTGTTGTAATGGCGTTCGCAGGTCTTGTCCGATGTGAAATGGGAGGATATCAAGAGGACGACGTAGGAGCAACACTCCATGGCTTTGCGGAAGTTTTTGAGAGACAGGGTACCGATCGGAAGCTCAGCCAGAGACGTAACTATCCAGTCTTTACTGGCAGCGTATTCTCTGAATTTGTTGGCACAGGTGCTTTCGTCTTCCTTCGTGTATATCAGCAGCAGGTCGTAGTGTTCATTCTTGCGGCTGTTCTGGAGGGATTGACTGCGGGAGACTTTCAAGGAAGATGGGGGAGAATCCCGGGGTGTGGCCATGCTTGGATCGCTTTGAGACGAATGTAAACTGCGGGCATTGTCTGAGGATTGCTTGTTCGAGTTTTCTTGAGAGAATATTTGTTGCCCATCATCGCTTGATTGCATTGGAAACATTGATGCTTCCGGTTCCTTTTTAGAATCTCCTCCTCCTCCTCCCTTTCCTCCTCCTTTTTCTCCTCCACCATCTCCTATTCTTATGTTTTCATTGGGTGGAACTGCTACAGCTGGTTTTTGTTCACCTGCTGCAGTTGGACTCTGACCAGACCTTTCGGAAACACCAACATTTACTCTTTTACAATGTCCTTCTTTTGTCTGGCAATCTTGTTGATCATCTTCCTTTCTAATTACTGGTTCACCAGCAGCTGGTTCTCTGCTCCTGTTTTCACGTATATGAGTGTCTCTCAAATTTTCTTGGACCTCTTCCAAATCTTGTATGTCTCCATGCTTGCAATCGGCAATGTTTCTTGGGTTTCTGTCAAAATTTCCAGATCGCAAACTGCCACTTATGCTAACACGTGAAGCCTCATCTCCAGGGTGTTCGAGTCCATCTCCTACAGATACTACACTATTTCCTTCAGGGCACCATCCATCCGCTCTCACATCTTGAGATAGTAAAGTGCCCTTAGTGCTCATTTCTTCTCCTACGACCACGTTTGCTTCACCCTGATTCTGACAGTCCACTTTACCATCCCGAGATCGCAGACTCTGGAACTGTTTATCCTGGGTAACCATCTCTAAGGTTGATGCCTTTCCCTTGGGGTTGACACTCGTTGAAGGCAAAGGGTCGGGCTGACTTGGGGCGGGGTTAGCTTGAGACATCTTTGAACCTTAGGTGAAGCCTGTACATGGTAAGATCTTGTGTCTCTGAGTTTCATAAAGAAATGTAAAGTGTAACACAAAGTTATAAACAGAATTGTTAACTCAATAAGTATGTCTGAACTTCTGTTACCAACAAGCCTTTTCCTTAGAACACGCTAAACTTCCTAATCATATTTATGTAATCTCAGTAATCGCCTCTTGCCAATTAAAAGTTTTACGATGTATTTTTATCTAAAACAACAAGCAACATCTCTGACAAATTTTATTACCTGGTAAAGAAAAATAAATAGAAGAACTGAATGAAAATAACAAAGCCAGGTCTCTTCAAGTGGTTGTAAGTATGGGATTTGGGGTGCAGCACAACAGGGAGTGCCCCTTATTCTTTAAAAGTGTTCTAGTTACATTGCCCCAACTTTCAAAACTGATCCACCGGCACTGCTCATCATTAAATATGAACATGGGAAATCATTAGCACTGGCGAGTCTGGTCAGGCTTGAACATGCATAGTTTATATAAAATCCGTTTGCTTTGAGGATTTTTAAAACACCTTTTGACTTTTGACACTCTCCTCCGAGACATATAGGAGAGGGATTCTTTGAAGCAGGATGAGTCTCAGTGGAACAAATTACCAAACAAGATGATATTAGTTTCAGTCTAGGTCAGGCTTTCACCAAATTTTCTGTCTCTTTCGTTTGTTAGCCTCTTATTGGGGTAGGGTCGGCTCTCTCTTTAGAGACGGAAACGGACTATACCGCCACGAGCGACGAGTTAGTGACATGCACAGTTTTTCCGTTATAATCATTTTGCCTTCGGCGTAGACTAGAAGGAATGAGATTTAGATGACGTCATGCGCAGCGAGAGTTTAAACTCCCGCTGCAAGATTTTTATCATGGATGTCGATTTTGACCCATAATTTCCTAAGAATGGACCATTAAACGGATTATTTCAGTCTAATTGGTAAGTGGAACCGAAGTAGTTAAGTTTTTACCTAATTTGGGGTCTATAAAATGCAGCGCGGATATGCATCCTGTAAAAGGAGTAATTCGGGGATAAGTTTTGCAAGTTTAGTGCACTGATTTGCCCACATAACCTACACATTTGGCGGTATAGTCTGTTTCCGTCTCTACAGAGAGAGACGACCCTACCCCAATAAGAGGCTAACGAACGAAAGAGACGGAAAATTCGGTCTAGGTCAGGCTATGATGCTCATGACAGATACTTCCCTTATAAAATGTTGTAGAGCAGGGCTTCTGAAAGTCAGGACCGCAGGGCGGTTCAATATAGACAGCCCACGCCCACGAAGCTGTTTTTTATTTTTAAAAACCCATATTTATAAGGACCGGGCCAGAAATCACCCGACGCCTATTCTCTATGCCTAGATCTAGACATACTAAATTTAATTAATTACGTCAAAAATTTTCCCCAAATAAAAATGAAATGTCTACTAATATTAAAGTATTTAAAGAAAACTAATGACTCCTAATAAATCTATGAAAAAAAGACAACAATAACACCTAGGCTCACGTCTCATTAATCACGTGATCATTACATAGTCTAGGCCTAGACTACATCATACATGTACATTATGAGGCATGAGGCAGATAATAAACTTGTCATTCATTCATTCCATGCATTGTCATTGCATAATTCAATAATTGACAAAATCACAATGCACACCACACCATTCAATTGAACCATATTTTATGACAATAGGTACTGGTCATCGTCAATACTCACAACAATAGTGACCTTTTGAAGGCTGGTCAGCAGCAAACGGCCGAATCACCCACAAATCCCAAGAGAAAGGGGGAATATTAGTGGTCAATAACCACAAAATACGAAACTCTCATCGGGTCATCGATATCCGGGCGCACACGCACAAATACGTGCGGTCTGCGTACGCGTATGTTGCGAATGCATCATGAGCGCCGACTGCGATCTGTGCAAAACATGGAGGGGGAAACGGGGAAATCCGGGATAACGAAATAAATCTATTTTTAGAACAATTAATGCACCAGTTTTGCAAACGCTTGGAAACCGAAGTTGGTCTATTTTTTCCCACACCAGCAAAGCCACATCCCGTTCTGTCTATACTGTCCTCTTATCAAGTTTAGAAAATGCAAAATAAGCACAGACCTATTATCATTTTTGTACAATTTCGACAGTTTTGCAGCTAAATAATTAGACCTCTACCCTTTATAATTTTTTGTAACATTTCGACAATAATATATTCTCGTCTGTTAATGATCGTAGTTGTAGTTCTCGCCCACACGTTTTGGGGGAAATATATGCATTTCGATACTTTTCTTCATTTTGTCCCACTGTTATTATTTCACTTTGCAGATCACTGTAAGTCTGCACCTTCATGGTCGAAATAAGTTCATTAATGTAGTTTTATTAGGTTTATTTCCGTAAAGCTCATGCAAAATGAGCAGGCTAGTGTGTCAATCATTAAGTCGACTTATAGGTCGGACCTATACACAATTAAATGTTGTCCCTTTAAGCTTACACTTCCAGCATGCTTTTATCAGAGTTTGCGCAATGCATTCACTGTTATTTTTTGTTGAGGAAATTACGATTACTTGCAAAAAACTTAAGAAGAAAGCCTATCAAATCGCATAATAATTTCCCCAAAACGCGTGGGCGAGAACTACAACTGCAATCTTTGCCGTGAAAACATAATATTACAGGGGACTTTGTTTGTTTAGATTTTCCCACGTTGTTATCGAAATGTGTTCCAATACTAAAGATGGAGCATCACTGGGCATCATGGCACAGCCCAGGCGCGTACGCAGGGGGGGGGGGGGGGGTTAAACCCCCCCCCATTGGTATTATTATGTGTGTAAGACCCCCTAAAAAAACCTTCCCCCCCCCCCCCCTTTGGATTTTTTTTTTTTTTTTTTTTTTTTTTAATTTATTTTAAAAAAAATAAAAAAATTTACTTCCATGGCTGGCCAAAAAAAAGGTGACCTTACCCTCCCCCCCCCAACGGAGCAAAATGTCAAATTTTCAAATTTCGAGACCAAAAAAAAAGTGTCCTCTTACCCCCCCCCCCCCCCCCCCCCCCCCCCCCCTTGAAAAATCCTGCGTACGCGCCTGGCACAGGCATAGGGTGTTTGGATCCCGCTTTTTGTTTGGGGATGTAAGTCAGCACCTACCCAACGATATCAGAATTATAAATGTTTTTAAATCTTACAACACTGAGATTAGTAAAATTCAAGATATTTGCTCACTTCTTCCATCTCGTAGATAATTTTTTTTTTTTTTTTTTTTTTTTTTTTTTCCCCTCACTTTATCACTATGATTCTGTACTTTTGTACTTATTTATTTATTTTGTACTTAAATTTCTGTAAATATGTTCACTTATTATAACTTGCATATTTGTTTGTAAATTGTATTTTCATTGTTTTATTTTCTGTTATATGTAATCACGGCCCTGCTGAAAAACAGCTTTTGCTGAATGCGGGCACAATTGTATTATATTTTTAACCGTGAATAAATAAAATATACCATACCATACCATACCATACTCCAAAAATATAATGACCCCATTATTGTTTGCCTAACTTATGTTAGATTGACGTATAACGGATCCGCCTCCCCTCCTCTTACAAAAACATGAAGCCGCCCTGGATAGTCACTTCAGTCAAACGCTGTTCCCTATAATGTATATTATGTTCATCGGCCGTCCATTATTTCATTTCATTTCATTTAGCAGTCTTTTATTTTCCATTGAACACTCCCCCCCCCCCCCCCCCTCCCTCACCCCCTCCCCCACCATTCTAAGAAATTTGATGTCATCAATAATATTATCATGTCGCAATATAATCACATGTCTTTGAGGGAAAGATCCGGCATATACTTGCATTCCTCATAAAGTGCTTGCCCGTATAGCCATCTCAAGGGAGAAGTTCAAGGAAGTCAAACATCCTAATTGATTAAAAACTGCATGAGTTTCTTATTCATTAACCAATACGAGCAATTAACTACACTCATGGACCTATACTACATTTGAGCTGGAAGATGTATTTATAGAGCCATTAAGCATCATTCGCTAACACTTTCACCAATATCAGCTTGTTAGAAGGAATCATCAAGAACACCCCTCAAAGTATAACAATTACAGAGATCCGAGATAAAACTAAGTCTTATAGTTGTGAGATCTCGGTATTCGTGAGGGAAAAAAATGACAAGTCGACCACCTCATCGGGCATCTGGACGCATATTTTGAGGGTGTTGCTGTGGGGTGGCTTGTCATTTCATCTCATATTAATATCTTAATATTTTCCTACACAATTCTATAGTTATAATTCCGTCAAGAGAAAGAAAAAAGTTGATAATTCCTTCAATCCGTTTGATGAACTTCTTCTTCTCGTTTTTGTTCTTGTTTTTCTTGTTCTTCTCCCCCTTCTATGTCTTGTTCTTCTAGTTCTAATTGATCTTCGTCTTCTTCTTCTTCTTCTTCTTCTTCTTCTTCTTCTTCTTCTCAGGCTCCTCCTCCTCCTCCTTCTTCTCCTTCTTGTTCTTCTTCTTGTTCTTCTTGTTCTTGTTCTTGTTCTTGTTCTTGTTCTTGTTTTTGTACGGTTCTTCTTCTTCTTCTTCTTCTTCTTCTTCTTCTTCTTCTTCTTCTTCTCCTCATTCTTCTTGTTCTTGTTCTTGTTCATTTTCTCTTTCAGCTTCCTTTCTTCATATCAGGTACACTCGGACCATTCCATTCATATCGTGCTCGTTCTTGAGGGAAATGTATTATTATACGGATGTAAACCAAGAAAACAGAAAGTGAAATGTATTCCTCCGATTTGTTTCTTTCACATTTCCCGGATGTTTCTCTGCAGGTTTCCTAAGAACCAGTCAATTAGGCCAACGTCAGATTCTGTCGGGGAAATAATCGGTATACAGGCCTACACCCAGATGAAAGGAGGTGAAATTACAGTAATCTACAAAGGAGATATATATACATGTACTTTTTATCTTGATAAGTTTTATTGGTCAGAAAACATAACGATTTACAAAATATCAGTTACATTTTTTTGGCAGAAACGAATAATCATTCTCACACTTACAATCTTGTGGTTTCACATTTCAGTGTAACATGAAAAGACATAGCATGTATACCCCGGCCGCACATACGATACGACCATCAGATCACAATCTTTATACCTGGCCTGATAAAATGATCGAATGTTGTTGCCGTGTCGTAATATAGTAGTAGGAGGAGGATAGTAGCCCCCCCCCCCCCCACTCAGGGGTCGGAATGACCGCATGCGTGTTGCCAAAATGTCCGATAAAGGGGTACTTTTCGTGCGACAAAGTCCGGCCCGAGAATTGTAAAAAAAGGGGTGTATTTGACTTTTCACCCGGAGATTTCTTTAAAAAGGGAGTGTTTTTCTTTTTTTCTCTCATCTCTTTGGACTCCTGAGAAATTATTCCGAATTTAAAGGGGTACATTGAGTATTTTTCCTGATTTAGGGGGATCTCCAAGGCAGGAAAAGCCCGCGAAAAGCCCGCGAAAGGGGGGTTCGGAAATGTTGGCAGTCCTCAGATAGGGGGTGCTTTCAAAAAGAGGGTACGAGCATATGCGTACCCCAAATAACACTGAGTGGGGGGGGGGGGGGCCGGGAGTAGTACTCGAAGATGTAGTTGTTGTTGTTGATGTTCTTGTTGTTGATACATAGGATCTTCCCGTCACTCCCCCCCCCCCATTCGACTTACTCAACAATTTAGGACGGTAGTCTACGTTCCCCTCCCCCAATGGCTGGACCAATTAGGCTACGCCCCTGTGCATCGAGATCAGTGCATGATACCCCCACCCTTAAGTCCCTCAGTCATCTACATCACAATGTATACGATCATCCCAGTGCGACCACACCCTATTTTCTCTACGTTTCGTGGAAGGTTTGATTAATTGACCTCATGACTGTATTAACGTTAACCATAATTTGTGATACTACGGAGTTACCACGACCGCATTACCACTCAAAAAGAAATTAAAGAATGAAGTGCACTCCCGAGTGCACTTCGGATAAAAAGGTAAACAAGGCATCGACGTGACTCGACCGCAAACGTGATGACCCGAGTTGACCTCAAATGTCGATTAGCAACGGAACGCTAACTGGCTGACTACACACATCGCCAGCCCGTGTCTTAATGGAAAAAAGCGAATCAAAACGTATATTTTTCTTGGTCTTTATTTGCAGTATAAATAGAGAAACATAGTTTCATTCGCAGACATGGAAAAGAAGGGTTCTAAACGTGCCATTAGAGTGAAAATCATCAGCATGGGAAACGCAGAGACAGGAAAGGTTTGTATTTCTGACCCACCCGTAAAGATTTGTGTAGTGTAGTTCAGATTTTGGAGCTTACCAGGTATCCAGATCGATCTAGATAGTAGATGGAGACCAAAACGTTGACAATGCCAGTACACACCCACGTCCACAGGATTTCTGTGTAATGCCAATCAATTCAATTTTCTGTTGCTTTGGTAGGTAACCATAGTCAAGAGGTCAGATTTATGAGAATTTGATTAAATGCAAATGCAGAGGAAAGAGCGGAGCTCAAGTTACAAAACCGAAACAGTTGACAGTTGTGACTTGTGACTGAGTGAGTATGGCTGTTAGTCACTGTCGGTGAACGACTTGATTTTGTTTTCGTTTAAGAAAGAAGATGAGCAAATGTATGGGGGATCTTAGCAGCCCTCATGCAAATGAATAAAGTTGTGGGAAAATCATGCAGTATTAAAGCCAGGCAGATAAATGAATAGGGTCTAGTGAAATTAACAATACATTTCAACAAATATTAAAGGGCCTTCTCATATTGTTATTGCTATATCACGTGTTGGGGAATATAGAACTGAATGTCTGTCATGTGAATTCATCATAATTTTTGGTCTAAAAACTTAATCCGTCAAAGTGATGTAAATTGAAGAAGGAAGATTCAAATATTAGCAAGTTGTCACTAAGCTGGAGAAAACAAAAGGAATTAAAAGTAGATCCATAGAAATACAACAAAGAATAATACATTTTGTTATAATTTGTATTTTGCTATTCTCAATTCACATGCAAATTAATTTTTTTTCCAGGGTTTTTTGTACTTGGTACATATTTAAAATCTTCCCTTTTTTCTTTTTCTATTCCGGTTTCACTAGAGTTGCATCATCAAGAGATACTGTGAGAAAAGATTTGTGAGCAAGTACATGGCAACAATTGGAATTGATTATGGTGTAACAAAGTAAGTCAATGGAAACAGTTTAAACCTACATTATTTATAGGGCTACCAAATACAATTTCATAAACAAGAACTGGTCAATTAATATTCATGTGTGAAGTATCACAACTGTGATCTGCTTGGTTGATGTTGATTGGAAGTTGAGGCCCGTTCACACACATGTCTGATGTAGTAAACCATGGTGGTTTACTGTGGCAAATGTGAACATGTCTGGGAACTTTTTACTTGCACCATGTTAATAGCATTGCACCATGCACCTGGCTCTCGTAAAGACATACACACACTCATCAGTCTGCAAGAATAATCTTCAAATGTGAAGGAGGCAGACTCAAACCCAAAGAAGATGAAGAAGAAGAAGTATATAAACTTATGTAAATATGACATACCTGTAATATATTCCTTTTTTTCCTTCTCATTAAAGCAAGTCCTCTATCCTAAGTTATTCATAACCCTGATTAGAATTAGACCTTTATCAAAAATGATTTTTGTAATGTACTCTTTATATGTAACTGATTTAAATTATTTATATCTAATCCCAACAGAGTGACAGTGAAAGAAAGAGATCTGAAAGTTAACATCTTTGACATGGCTGGACATCCTATATTTTATGAAGTGAGTATTTTGTTCTTAGACACCAACGTCCTTCTTCCTTCCCCAACTCCCCTCCCGACACCACTTAACAAACATTCATTGAAAGAAAGCACAACTGGTAATAGTAGGCATTAATGTATTAATATTTTCACTTAAAGTTATTTGCGTTTATTTTTCTTGAGTTGGTGTACAGGCAATCATTAAAGGTAATACAAAGTTTTGGGAAATTTCGAAAATTGGGTGGGTAGTGATTCTTTACAATTTTGATATATTTGGATGCCCCTGTGGATTTATTAAGGGCACTAAAAAATTTAGCCCCTAAAACACTTCTGCTTTTGAGAAAATTGAATATAAAAATTTACCAGTGCTCCCGGTAAATTTTTGATAAATTTCAAATAGCGTCTGCGGCCGTACAATGGTAGCTGCGACCATGAAAATCACAGAATATGTAGTTCTGATATATAATTTCCAAACGGGAATAGCAAATTGGTCGATTTTATTCAAGAAATGTTGTTTTATAGCTTAGTTGATATATTGACCTTGAGAGGGAGCTATACAACATAAAGAATTTATTATTGACAATTTCATAACTTTAGACTCGATTTCAACCGCGACAACGATCACTGAAAAATGTAGGCTCACATATGCTTCCAATATGTTCATTTGAACCAAATTCATGACCTTAAACCAAAACTTTGTATTTCCTTTAATACAGCCTACTTACAGGAGCAGTGGAAGTGAAAGACTAGGGAATGGAGCTCACAGTGAAGGCTAGAAATAGAGAGTTGTGGAATAACATTTCCAAAGTTGATAGATAGATATGGCACCTAGAGAGAGAGAGAGAGAGAGATAAAAGAGGGGGGGGGAGGGGAGAGGGAGAAAGAGACATAGAGAACTACATGATCACATGTGCATTGTCAGCTTCTGTTTTGTATGTTTTTAAATCCGGAGAATTGCGAAAGTAAAACCCTCACAAACAAACAATTGACACTGTACATTAGCTTGAATGTTATTATATTATTTCGCATTATATCAGGTTAGAAATGAGTTTTACAAGGACACACAGGGTGCTATCCTGGCCTACGATGTTGGATCCAGGTCCAGTTTTGAGGCTCTGGATTCCTGGCTGGCAGAGATGAAGAGAGAGATGGCCGACTCGACCGAGATGGAAAGGGTTGTCTTCTGTGTCTGTGCAAACAAGGTATGGACCCCTTAACCCTTCTGGCCCCAATGTTTATGCTCTGTATGATAGAGGAACCCAACCTGGGATCCTATGTTCAATGTATCAGCTTCCAAAATTACTTCTGTAAAGAGATATATGTTTGTAAACCAAATTGTACTATAATTTGAGTTAATTATTTAACATGCGTGGAAGCCAACTCTGAGTCTTTAATTTCTTACAAGTATGCTTTTTAATTTTGATAATTGTTGAACATTTGAATTTCTTGTGTAGTCCTCATGGGTGTTTTGGCCGTACGACACTAGCTCCTGCTACAAGTGACCTGGGATGAATTACTAACGTCAACCCATCTCTACTCTACCCTAAACCTAACTTATAAAATCCAATTGAAACCATTACCCTAACCCTATACTTTCGACAAAATAAAACCCTGAGCTATTGCTGTTGAAGCAAATGCCGAAGCACTGATTTTAGCTTTTAACAATATATAGTGTGTACATTATATTTTACATGCAAAGTGTTTGTATTGGATAATTATATACACTTTCTTTTTCACAACTTTAAACCATGTAAATTGTATTATTGAATGGTGAATTGTATATCTGATTTCTTGTCATAATTACTGTTCTGTTTTTTTTTTTTATGCCTCCGTTACGAAGTAGCCGGAGGCATTATGTTTTCGGGTTGTCCGTCCGTCCGTACGTACGTCCGTACGTACGTACGTCCGTCCGTCCGTACGTCCCGTTCTCGTGATCGCGTTATCTGAAGAACCGATTGATGGATTCCTGCCAAACTTTGGTCATGTATGTATCTTGCAGAGCCGATGAACTGATTAGATTTTGGGGTCACGAGGTCAAAGGTCAAAGGTCACAGGGCTCATTATGTATGCAAAAACAGCTCGTGATCGCGTTATCTCAAGAACCGATTGATGGATTCCTGCCAAACATTGGTCATGTATGTATCTTGCAGAGCCGATGAACTGATTAGATTTTGGGGTCACGAGGTCAAAGGTCAAAGGTCACATGGCTCATTATGTATGCAAAAACAGCTCGTGATCGCGTTATCTCAAGAACCAATTGATGGATTCCTGCCAAACTTACGTCATGTATGTTACTTGCAGAGCCGATGAACTGATTAGATTTTGGGGTCTTGGTCAAGGTCAAAGGTCATGCGGCTCATTATGTATGCAAAAAATAACTTGTGATCGCATTATCATTAGAACAGATTGATGGATTCCTGCCAAACTTAGATCATGTATGTATCTTGCAGAGCCAATGAACTGAGTAGATTCTTGGGTCATGAGGTCAAAGGTCAAATGTCATGCGGCTCATTATGTATGCAAAAAATAACTTGTGATCGCATTATCATTAGAACAGATTGATGGATTCCTGCCAAACTTAGATCATGTATGTATCTTGCAGAGCCAATGAACTGAGTAGATTCTTGGGTCATGAGGTCAAAGGTCAAATGTCATGGGCTCATTATGTATGCAAAAATAGCTTGTGAACGCATTCTCATTAGAACTGACAGATGGATTACTATTTAACTCAGGACATCTTGCAGAGCCAATGAACTGAGTACATTTTAGGGTCATGAGGTCAAAGATCAAAGGGTCATATATCATGTATATGAGAAATTGCTTTTTGGTTTGTAAACTTGCTCTATGACGGAGGCATCATTTTCGACTGCGCGCAGTCGAAGTTCCATCTAGTTTTTTTTTTTTTTGGGGGGGGGGGGTCTGAATGAAGGTTAAACACACGTGATCCTGATTGTTTCATTGGCTTTCCATCTAGAGGTTGAATGAATGTGCTTTTTTAATTTTCAAACAGATTGATAGAGGCATGCAGCGTGTGGTCGATGAGACAGAAGGGAGACTCTGGGCCGACAGCAAAGGCTTTCGTTACTTTGAGACCTCGGCGCTTACAGGGGATGGAGTCACGGACATGTTTACAGTAAGTTTTTCAGGATTGTTGTTGTTGTTGGTTGTTTTTATGGAGTTCAGTCAAATCTGACTATTTACGCCTAGTCTAGTTCTTTAGTCGTGTCGAGGTAGTCGAGTTGTAATAATCCCTAGCTTGGAAACTCTGTACGCCTGTATTTTGCTGATCCACTGCTGGGGATGTATCATTCCTGCCAACCCTGCTACGTACATTGAGCAAGCTTAATAATCCTTCGGATCTAGGCCTCTCAGGATTTGCAAGACTTATTATATTTATATTGCCTGAAACAAAATTTTAACCTAAAACATTTTAGAAATATCATGAAAATCTGATAATAATGATAATAAAAATAATCTTTGAAAGTACCCACTCGTGAGCCCGGCAGCCACTGAGCAGCGCCAGGTAGAAGCAACTCCTGTCTTTTAACGTCTTTTGGTATGACGTGGCCGGGGTTCGAACCCACGACCTCCCGGTAATCTCTGCGATAATCTCACCATGTACATGTGTTTTACCTACGTTTACTAGGCCCTTTACCAAGGTCTTCTGACAGCATTTGAAAATGGAGGCCGGGCAGAGCGCATCGCCACCACCCTTGGCTATACCAAGGAACAGGTCGAGGCAATACAGAGGTTGAAGACGAGCAAAAATAATTACGAGAGGCTAGGGCTGCCACACAATGCTTCAAAGTAAGTCATAATTATGTTAATGAATTCTGATCATTTATTAATTATTTAGGGATCTTATTACGTAATCTCTATCACCATTATTATTTTCATTTTCTGTATCCCCTACTAACTGTAATATTATACAAATGATGCATGCGCATGAGTTCATTATACGATCTATCCGCACTCGAGTTGAGGCTGTGTGTATCTATTGCACGAAGCCGTTAGGCTGAGTGCGATAGATACACACAGCATCAACGCGTGCAATAGTCTCAGTAATTGAATCACACGTGACCGCGCATGACCAATCATTTGATTAGGATCTGGGAGTGAGTTGTATAAATATATATATATAGATATATATATATATATATATATATATATATATTATTATTAAATTAAAACAATTGAAATAACAATCTTTAGAGTTCACTTCTTCACTATGGTTGGTTTCAACTGAAATATAAATTGAAACGGTCAAAGTGAACTCCTAATGGATTTTTAATTTCAATTGTTTTAATCATTATTTGTATATTACTGTGACGGAGGATTATAAAAATTGAATTATTTGTTCTATATATATATTTACTTGTTTATAAATATGTCATAACAGCAGTATCCACCTGACCCTGAAAATAAAAGTCTTTTATTTCAATTATTTTATACCTTTTAAATTCTACATGTAAATGATCCATACCATGAATAAACAATTGCTGACTTTAAAATGTAATTTTTGTGACTGATTATTAAGACTTGTGATCAATCTGGATCAATCGCAACTCTTTATAGGGCCCTGAAATATGTTTGTTAGTCATTCATGTCATGAATGAATGTAATTTTGTTCATTCTTGCAGGGATGAGATCAACAAAGCGTACCGGAAGTTGGCTGTTCTCTTGCACCCTGACAAGAACGTAGCACCTGGGAGTGAGGAAGCTTTCAAGATCCTTGTCGCTTCTCGCACAGATCTCCTCAAGCACAGATAGTCTACGCTTTCCCACTAGACTCACATTATCTCGCCAGATTTTTATGAGCATGATGTAACCTTGTTGATTTTATCTTGAAGCAAGTAATACCTGGAAAATGAAACTGTGACTTGGGAAACTGCATTTGAAAGCTTTCGAGATCCTGGTTGCTGCTATACACAGATCTCCTGATGCACAGATAGTGTACGCTTTTCCATTAGACTCGCATTATCGCGCTGGTCGCTGGTCGGACAGATCTCCTGAAGCACAGATAGTGTACGCTTTCCCATTAGACTCGCTAAAGTGATTCTAACCAGAAATGGAGCAAGTAACTTGAGTTACACCGTCCTGATATGTTTAGATTGGAGCTCTTAAACAGCTCCTGCAATTACAGGTCTTCCTGAAAACATATAGTCCGCGCTTTTATACAAGACTGTGACATTGTCTTTTGTCAGGTAACTTGGGGAATTTCCGTCCTGAAATGTTCAGATTTACTGGGCCCGAACAGCTATTGAACAGCTCCTGATTCATATACGGTAGTTAGTGCTTTCCTACAATACTGTGACATTGTCTTTGATGGTTATTATGAACTTTGTGTAAGCTTGTGGATTATTTGGAACTGATTTTTAACCAGAAATGAAGCAAGTAACTTGAGAAACCCCATCCTGAAATGTTCAGATTGGCTGGGCCAGAACAGCTCTTGAAGAGTTCTTGCAATTACAGTTCTTCCTGGAAACGTATAGTCTGTGGTTTCCTACAAGACTGTGATATTGTCTTTCATGAGTATGATGAACACTGTGTAAGCTTCTGGATTGTCTGGAAGTTAGTTTAACTGCAAAACAAGCAAGTAGCTGGGTAATTTTCAGGGTTCCTAAGCCAGAACAAACGGATGGTAACCCTGTCCTGTAAAGACTGTCACATAAAGTTTTATGTAGATAGTGCATATTGAGATTCAAAGGGGCGGATCAAGCCGGCGGCAGGGGAGGGGGCCCAATTTATGAGAAAATATTTAGCGGGGAAATAGCAGGCCGATAATTATCTATGTGGGGAGGGGGGGGGGGCCCTCGAAAATTTGAAAAATCGCACCCCCATCTCCAAGAAAGGGTAAACTTAACATGTTTTTACACATTTTTTCCCAGGGGGGGGGGGGGGGGCCGGGCCCCCCCCCCCACCCCTGGATCAGCCACTGGAGATTTATCAATTATAGGGAAATGGTTGTATCAGGAAAGCAAACATCTATGATGACAAACTGTATTCTTAAACTTGTAGGTTCTTGTTAGCAACAGAACAGCTGTCCTTGATACCATTGGTCCAACATTTGCTCTGGCGATATTTGTTCCAGGCTATTTATGTCATCAGATATAGGGTAAGGGTTCGATTTGAATATGATTTAGTTCCAGGATTGAAGTTGAATTTAGTTAGTGTGCAAACATTGACCATGAAGCAATTGTTGCTAGATCCTTTGTCGTACAACCCCTAAAAGGTTTTCCGAAAGAAAGATATTCAAAGGTTCTTTGTCAGACTACTTTGTTGATTGTTATGAATATAATACACATTTAAAAAAACTAAGGATTACTATATTACTTTTTGTGTTCATAACAACATTTAAAAAAAGTAATTGTGAAACTTTGTATTTTAAAACTCCTGGTTACTGGCTGCATTGGGTCAGCTATCCTCACAAACATTCAAATATTTTCTTCAGAATATTCCAATTTATAACTTGTGTACTGTAAAAGATGCTTTCGTGAAAACTGTGTATAGTGGGATATTAAGACCAGGTGCAAAGCCTTGTGAAATTTTAAGTGCTTTTATTGCCAGATAGGAGCACATTGAGAAATTTTAACAAACTGTCTTGTGAAGCAGCTGAAAAGGAACCGAGATACTTAGTCCAAGGTTTCTGCCTTATACATATGTATAACTACAACCAGATATGTGTGTGAATTTCGAAAGATTTTCATGTTACAAAAGAGTTGAAACGCAAAAGTAAATGTACGCAAATTGTGAAAGTATTTGAAGGTGTATTGAAAAGAGGGATTGAGATGTGTAAAAGTATGTTAATTGAGATAGAGTTGAAAATGTCTTCAATTGAATATACATTTATTCAATTAATTTAATGATTAATGTATTGTACTTAATTTATTGCTGATAGTTTATAGTGGTCATTGACTGATACTTTATGTACCCATGAATAGGTATGAAAAGTATTATGAGCAGTGCCTACAATCAGAGCATATATTCTCATAATCTAAATTATTCCTCCGTCCTTTCCAGTGAGACTCTCTAAACAATCTACCGGTACTTATATGAATTATATCATTAGTAACATAATGAGAAACTTATAATAATTTATGTGTTCAAAAGTATGGAATATGAGGAAAAATGTACTTAGACAGCAGTTGGTATTCAATAACAAATAATTATATTTTAACTTTTTTAAATGTATTTATATTTATTTATTTCTTCTTGTGGAAGGATTTAATTTCAATTGATATTATTAATATTAAGTCTATTTATTATATACCGGTAGTCTGATTTGTTTTGTCTATGAATATGATAAATACAATGGTGTAATGTTTTCACCACTTGTGATTGAACTTCATTCCAACTACCTTTCTTCTTAATAAACATGTACTGAAGAAAAAAAACATTTGAAAGAATTTTTGTAAGATTGTGTTTACTTAGAAGTAATAGATAATAGATGTAAGTTTATTTATCGTAACATTGTAGCAATGTGGCACACATTTTCCTTTCTCTCTCTCTCTCTCTCTCTCCCTCTCTCTCTCTCTCGCCTCCCCATTTGTGTCGTTGACGTTATTCCTGCACAGTTATTCCTGCACAGTTTTTGTTTTGTTTTGTATTGTATTTCTTGAAGGGGCTAGATAAGAGCTCCCCCCCCCCCCCCCCTACCAACTCATAGAATTAGAAGCTGCGATATATCGAAATTGCGATCGGAACCTTTTGGAAGAAAATAATAAAGTCTTTATATAGGCGGCCTACACAATAACAATGGAGGAGTGTGGAAGAGGAAGTCTGACATCTATTGATTTGACATGGGAAATATTGCGTTATGCTAGATTTCTGGCGTTGGAAGATGACTCAAAAAGTAGTGTGACATCGACCGCACGGAATGAACAGAAATGGAAGGTAAGTAAACTATCAAATAATTAATTTATGTCATTTTGGGGGAATGGAAGTGGAACTCCTGAACTCTGGCGGCGCGGCTCCAGTCTGTGCCGGGTGCCGGGTGCCGAGCCATCGTAGGCAAAGGAGACTCGCAAGGCAAGCGCGGGCAGTGGCCCCCTCGATATACGGTACCAAAGGCCGAACCGGCTGTCGACACGGTCGGTTTGGATCGAAATCACTTGGGACAAACTTAACTCTTAACTTCGTTTAATATACATCTACCCTACTTTGACCCAGCCCTCGGGTTGTGATATTTGGCGTAAGTGTTCTTAGCCTAGGGTTGAGTTCACCTTATAATAATGTGACCAAAAGCTACACTCTGGCTCCAGACTTCTGTTCTGGATTATCCAACAAAATGAAATTGAAAACAAGTTCACATCTGCTCCTGATAGCAAAGCCAAAAGCAGATAGACCCTAACTGGTTAGAGTCTATGCATGGCCCGTATTCTGAAGTCGTGTCTAACTCCTGTTTAACTAAACATTTGTCTAAGTCCTGTCTAAGTCCACTTTAGTCACAAAGTCGTGTCTAACTTTTTTCGTATTCTGAAGTCGTGTTTAACTTTAGACACCTGCGAGGGGTTGTTTAACTTCCTGTTTAAGGGCGCGATTCAGCTGCTTTTCAACGTCTCCGGTACACTCTACTTGCTGACCCCGAACTTGGGAGAACGATGGTACGTGCATCCTTTAAAATTTCAAATACATTTTGCAGGATTTTTTCTTGTGTAGCCTTATTTTTTTTCTTGATAATATTAACTATTCTTATCTAATAATGGTGACATCTTGGAAATTCCATAATCTATAATAAACTAACCATTCTGTTGGAGAAGTTTCTTTTCTGGTTCTTCCGAGCACTGAGGCACTGATAAGTGATATTATTAGTGTGTTTGTACTGTCCGCCAATCCAGTGTACGTGTATACGTACGTACTGTACCTACGTCACAGTACATGCATGCAGTCTAGTCATTACATCACAATCACATCACCATGATACTAGCAAGCGCATAGCTAACTGTGCACGTTAATTTATTTATCCGGTGCGTGCACGCATGCGCATTAATTGGGTCTATCGTCAGAATTAACGCCTAATGGGCATGCGCAGAAGTCATGACTAAGACACGACTTGCGCAGAACTTAAACAGTTTAGTTAAACACGACTTAGACAGGACTTAAACAGTTGTTTAGTTGTTTAGCTATATGATTGCTTCTGAATGCAAGCTGCCTAAACCAGGACTAAAAAAATGAGAACGCTTTTATAAATTTGTATTAGCCCTAGAGCCTCATGGAAAGTTGATTTTACTTTTCCTATCCCTAGATCTGCCTTTCCTGTTTATCAAATTATTTATTAAAAAATCATCTCTGGATTGAGTATACTAAATGTACCATAAAGGTTGAATTATTGTGATATTTCAAAGCCCCCTTTCTGTGCTTGTTTTACCAGTACATAGCTCCTGCATCCAAGGAAGGCTTAAAACTATGTATTAACAGGGATCATTTGCTTCTCACAAACGATGATGTAATTTTAGTAAGTATTTGAAAATATTTAATGCATATTACTTTTAAATCTGTTTGCACAGTAGTATTCCAATTGAATGATTTAAACACCATTACATTGTCTATCTCCTAGACCTCAGTTCAATCTCATTTATGTACATGGAATTATAGTAATTTTTTTTAATATATGAGATTCATCATTTAGTTAATGGTTGTGGTCTTAAGCAGTCATCAATTTCATTCTGAAAACTCTGCATACACTACCCAGATTTTGGAAGATAAAATGAAAGATTGGTTTCTGGTGCATTCATATTGACTTGGCAACAACACAAATCCTGTAGGTTTAGCATTACATTTAGATTTGTGGAAGGAGCACTTATCAAAATTGGAACTTTTGAGATTATGTAGCATTTAATGACCGATTGTGTTTGTATTCAGGAGAATTACTTTCTAGGAGACATGAGGAGCACAATGCGTGGCTTTGTGAGAGGAGACAGTCTCCTGTTTGTCATCAAAGTTAAGGTGAGAAGTTTCCCCAACATACATTAGAAGTAATTTTTGCCCCTTTTCTAGACAAGATTATGATTACTGTAATTAATTTAAAGTCATTTGTTGACCTATGAATATATGATTGTCTGGCTTATAATAAGGATTGAATTAAATTGTTTCTGTAAATGCAAAGACACATTATCTTTGCTTCCTTTCACAATGGGGGAAGACAAAAAAAATCCTTTCAGTGTATCTAAAGAAATAGATTGATATTATACTCTAAGTGAATACAATATGTTCTTATCAAAAGTAGCATTTAAAGGGAAAGTCCACCCCCAAAATAAGTTTGTTTCGATAGAGGCAGAATAATAAGAAAATCAGGTGAGTGAAAGTTTGAGCAAATTCTGAATGAAAATAAGAAAGTTATGAATTATTGATGTTGTGATCAATCAAATACAAATTGGCAACTCTGTGACTTATCATACGAGCTCTCCTTCATTTGCTTTGTGCATAATATTCCATAAAATCAGGTTTTCTTCGTTATTGATGACGGAATATATATTTGTTCCTTGCAGGGGGAGTATAGAAACATATTTGCAATTATTATATTTAGGGTGCATGTATGGTTGAAATTTTTCTTGAGGGAAAATGAAAATTTTAGATTTTTTTAGCACTGAGCAAATGGAAGTTGAGCTCGCATGATACGTCACAGAGTTGCCAATTTGTGTTTCATTGATCACAACTTCAATAATTCATAACTTTCTTATTTTCATTCAGAATTTGCTCAAACTTTCACTCACCTGATTTTCTTATTATTCTGCCTCTATCGAAACAAACTTATTTTGGGGGTGGACTTTCCCTTTAAAAAAAAAAAATTGGTTCTTTAGAGACATACAATGTGCTTTATCTTGTCCTGTGGCAGAATGAAGCTAGAAAATTTAGAGTGCGCTTTGCCAGAGGACCCCATCATAGTGCAGTGGCAACGTGTGAAAATTGTGCGGCTAAACTCTCCTACTTCTTTCCTGTTAGACCGTATGAAGCAATGGAAAGACCTAAGCCCCCTGTCCAGGTAAGCACTTGTGATGTATTTATTTTCAAAGAATTAGAGATTCTCATGTTCACAATCGCGTTATTAATTGTACAAGTAGAAACAGAAACAGAAACATTAATGCCTGTGTTAGACCGTATGAACCACTGGAAAGACCAAAGCCCCTTGTCCCGGTAAGCACTTGTGATGTATTTATTGATAAAAGAATTGAAGATTATCATGTTCACGATCACTTAATTAATTGTACAACAAGTAGAACAGAAACAGAAACATTAATGCAGGTATGGAATTTATTTTGACACTGAAAGGATTGCACAAACGACTTTCTTGATCATCCTCATTAGCATCAGAGCTTGGTTTTGTAGAGGTAATTACAAGGATAAGTCTCATAATTACTTCCTTTAACTTGGGGGGGGGGGGGGGCGGGCGTAGTCTCTGTTGTCCTCTTTTAGTATCATTGCCCCTTATCACTGGCTATCTTATAACCCCCCCCCCTTTCCCCGACCCCTTCTCTCTGTCCCTTTCCCTGTTATATCGCTGCCTTTCTCAATTTCAATTTTAATTTATTCACGTTTCCAACGAAACATTATAAATCAATTATAAGCATTTTAAACAAATGTAGAAATACATGTTAGAAACAGAGGGTTACACTTTCATTCTCTGTCTGTGTTACTCTTCATCTCTCTGGCTCTCTCTATATGTTTCTCCCTTTCTCTCTTCTGCTTCCCTAGATTGCTGAAAAAGAAGTGTTGAAAGGTGAAGTGTCAGTTCAAGAACTATCCCAGGTTCGTAATTTATCTTGCAACAGGGACATTTTTGTTCACCTTATATTGACTAAATTATCCATCATTGATTTAAAAAGGTATGTATATTTAACCTGGTCTTTCTATATTTACCTTTAAAAAAGCGGAAAAGAATTAACATTACACATTTTGCAGAATTATTTGTTATCTATGGCTTGATACCAATGAACTTACATATAATTTGATAATAAATTTCTTTAAAAAATAAGTACCACCTGTTGTATCCATTGCAACTATCAATATTGACCTATTCAGAGCTTTGAAGTTATAATAACCCATTTTGGCTGTAAAAGGATTGTTGCTCGATAAAGATAATTGGAAAAAAAGAAATCCCACTATGACTAACACTATATCTGAAAATAACCTAGGTATACCTGCATTTAATACATGTACTGTAGGTGATGAGAGGGGACGGAAGGAATGTGGAGCTACCAATCCCTTATACTGCATCTGCAACCAACTTGGAGCCTGATGATCTAAATAAACTGCTTCGTCTTTTCCTCCTGGAGAGTTCTTTTCCATCTTTCGTAGAAGCTGTAGAGAAACAGTTGGACTCTATCACTAAGGAAGATGAGGAATAGAAACGATACTCACATGATAAAAGAAAGATCTTCAAGTTGGTAAGCCTCTTCATCTTTTCCTCCCTGATGCTTCTGTTCCATCCTTTGAAGATGATGTTGATAGAAGAATTGGACTCTATTACCAAGGGATAGGATAGACAGAGCATTGGCTAACATGGAATCTCAGGTCCTTAATAAGATGCTTCGTCTTTTTCTCTTGGGGATTCCTTTCCATCATTCATAGAATCTGCTTAGAAGTAGATGACCTTTAATACCAAGAAACATGAGGAAAAGAAGGTGCAACGGATATCAGCTTGGAACCTCAGGATCTTAATAACTTGCTTCGTCTTTTCATCTTGGTGATTCCTTTCCATTACTCATAGAAGCTGCTTAGAAGTAGATGATCTTTAATACCAAGGACACAGGAGGAATAGAAGGTGCAATGGCTACCGACATGAACCCTGAGAAACTTGATAAGCTGCTTAGTTCGTTCTTCTTTAATAGAGACCTCCGTTTCATCCTTTGTAGAAGCTGAAAAGATTAAGCAGTTGGACTTTATCACCAAAGAAGATGAAGAACCGAAAATACAAATGAAAGCAACATGCATTAATACTTTTATAATGAAACAAGGGAATAGAAAAGTTCATCTCCTACCAACATTTATTCATTGTCTTGATAGGCTGCTTCATCTGTTCCTTCCAGAGGCCTACATGCATTTCCCATCTTCAATATAAGCTGCGGAAAAGCAGTTGGACACTATTTGAAAAAGATCAGGAAAAGAGGATCTGCAACCATTGCCTTGTGGAACCTGGGGATGTTTCACAAAGACTAAGATCAACTTTTATTTGGACTTAACTATGGCAGGCCATTTATGCCACTGGTTACTCTCACCTTGGGTCTCTCAATTGTGATCTTTAGATATTATTTTTCCCTTCAATAATGAACTATCAAAAAAGGTAAATTCTGTAGACTTGTGACACGATTTGTACATTCCTTGAGAGACCAATACCAGTAAATGGTGAGAGCAAACAGTGGTATGAACAGCCTGCCATAGTTAAGTCCAACTTAAAGTTGATCTTAGTCTTTGTGAAACACTCCCCTGATCATCTTGGTATACTGCTTTGTCTATCCTCCGTGGAGGTTTCTTTTTAAAGCCTTCTATGAGTATTTTCAAAAAGCAGTTGGACTCGATAACCAAGAATATTAAAGAGTAGAAAGTGCGAGAACTTTGCTGATCACCTTCAGTTCGATTCATTAAAATTGACATTCAGTTGAAACCTGATTCTTGCTCTAACTTAGCTTGGTAGTCAACATGACAACAAATGATTCTAACCATGCCCTTGTTTCAATAATGTAACAGCACAGTTAAAGATTAATAAGATGTTATAAGACAATATACAAATAATACACAGTAGTGAGGGCATTTGTAAGAATTACCCACACAAGGTACCTTTGGAATGATCAAATACCTTGGACTTGCCATTCAAGGTAAAATGAGCCGGACTCCTTCATAAAGTGGGCTTTCCTCTCCCTCTGTCTCTCCTGTCCTCTCTGTTTGTATTTTATTCTAATTTGAAGTAAATTCTTGTGTTGAAGTAAATTCTTGTGTAGAAGTATGAAATGTGGCTATGATGTATGCAATGATTGCCAGTGTATACTATTTGAAAAATAAAAATATGTAAGTCATTTAAAAAGAGATACTGTATATGATCATTTGGAAGAGAGAGAGAGAGAGAGAGAGATCACTTGAAAGAAAGAGAGAGAGGGGGAATAGAGAGAGAGAGAGCGAGAGAGAGAGAGAGAGAGAGTATAGAAAGAGAGAGAGCAAGAGAGAGAGAGAGAGGGTATAGAAAGAGAGAGAGAGAGAGAGAGAGAGAGAGAGAGAGAGAGAGACGGATACAAACCGACACAGAGAGATAAAGAAACAAAAAGTGATCAGTGGTGGTCATTGATGGAAATCTTGTAAATATAAATGTCGCCATCTAGCGGTTATTTGCCATTGCGTTCCGATCTCTACCTGAGTTCCAAGCACTTAATTCATATATTGTCTATACAACAAAATAATACCAGTTTGTTATCCATCTCTGTCCCCACTACCTTCTTTAAAAAGAAATGAAAGCCCACGTTTTTCCCATGCATTGTAGCATGTATCAATCAATAAAATTTCCATGCAGAGAGAGTATAAACTTCTCTTCTGATCAATATATCTGCAAATTGTTCACGTCGGCATAAATATTCTGGCATCTTTCGTTACTTTGACAATAATGATGTCTCAATATGCCCTTATCTCTGGCTTCTTGTCATGTGATGATATGCTAATGAAAATACATTTAGAACAATAGATAATCAGCAACGGTTAATCCGATAATTTAATTGAACTATGGCCAGGCGCGGATCCAGGATTTCTTAGGGGAGGGGGCCCAACTTTTTTTTTTTTGCTCCCGAAAATTTGAAAATCGCGCCGGCCGAAAAGTCGCTCAGTGGGGGGGGGGGGGGGGTTACAGAGCACAATTTTTTTTTTTTTTTTTTTTTTTTTTTTTTTGCTCCCGAAAATTTGAAAAACGCGCCGGCCAAAAATTCACTCAGTGGGGGGGGGGGGGGGGGGGGGGGGGGGGGGGGGGGGGGGGGGGGGGGGGGGTAGGGTAGTGAGCACATTTTTTTTTTTTGATCCTCAAAAAAATTTCAATTTGCACCCCCCCTTGAGCGCCAGGGGGGGGGCCCAACCCCCAAAAATCGTAAAAATCACGTGATTTTACATGATTTTTTTCTCAAGGGGGGGGCCCGGGCCCCCCGGGCCCCCCCCTGGATCCGCGCCTGACTATGGCATCATTTATTAATTTCTATATATTATTTAATTCGGCGATGCTTATGGAACCTTGCACCTACCGACCAATCTTAACGCACTTTCCTTTGTTTTGTACGTTAGTATGTTGTAATGTTGTTTGTTTTCTACATTTTTTTCATTAGTTTTGTTTTCTGTCTATATTTTAGTTTTGTTTATTTGGATTTGTTTTAATTAATAAAGATTTCCCTTTCCTCCGGAATGCGTGCCAATAACACGACTAGAGTGTACTTTATTTTAGGTGCATGCAAGCAGTGATGGTCATAATACACAGTGCGTATCCAGAAAAAAAGTGTACTCACTTTATACTCTGTCTAATGATATCATTTTCATTATTGTCCTGCCAAGCATGACTGAACAGCAGGCTTTTCAAAGATTATTGTCAAAATCCTCTTGTACCAAGTTTGGGCTGAAGTAATGTGGGTGAAAAGCCATTATGTTTGTGTCATCTCATCCCAAAACATTTGATCATTATTTTATTGAATATTAGGCTGTTAAAAAAAAAAACTTAGGTGTGAATATCAACCCAAACTCAACAAAATGCTTATCACAAGCACAATTTATGATATTCTCTTTGTTATGATGATTACAATCTTGACTTCATTTGAGTAATGCAAAATGGATAGCATTTATTTGGGATGTTATCTTTGTTTGGAAAGTCTGCTATCAATTTGTTTGATATTAATCATAACATTGCTCTTTCTTGCATTTGGGTTTAGTAACCTTTGAGTTTTCATACGCTATTCGAGATAAATACTTGTCCACTGATTAAGATCTACCAAAGTTGGGTACACTTGTTTTTAATTTACAATTCATAAACATACAAGGTTATGACCGATGTTCGTCTGACGGAAAAAAAATGTCCAAATTTTTTTGCAAGTGAAAATATATGCAGATTACACTTTACCTATGCAAAATCATTCTTACCGAATAGACGATTTCAATCCACGATATGTATACATGTATCATTATTTTTGTTTTGAATCGGAGAGATCTAACATTGAGAAAGAATTACTCCAAACACGGAGTTTTATTTCTGAATAAAGCTGAATTTACAAACAAATTAAAACGGCGTAGTACTGTAATAATTATGTATATCCAGTTTTTGTGTGACACTGGCTCTTAAAAGGTGGTGGTTTCTATCGATTATGGGATGTTTTATTTCACCGTTCACTTTCTCCAATTATCTTCATTTCTGTCTCTTATTTTTTGTGTTTTTATTTGCTATTTTCACCATTCATTTAGGGGACATGTACTTCTAGTTCGCATATTCAAACTCTATATCAAAATTTCACTATAATATATAAAATTATATCTTAAACCGGATTCGATGGTTGAATCTGTTGTCCTATTTAGCGACCAAGTTAAGAAAGAGACAATACTTCCAACTGGAAAAAATGTTTTATTTACCAAACAGTCGTCATAATAATTCTATGCAATTGTATATGGTTGGACTTTATTTGAGCTGATTTAAACACTCGATTTTCAGAAACAAAAGTGCCATGAAACGGCCCTTTGATTAAGCGACGAAAACGTGTGTTCTTCTCCTTTTTTGTTTTTACTTATTTTGGTTTCCATAAAGAGTACTATAGTAATTCAGGGATTTTAATGATGGTGAAAATAATACAGTTGTAACAATTAAATTGAAAAGTATCTTCTTTGAATTTATATACAATGGACCGTGGTCACTGATGACGAACCGCTTTGCCATTCATTAAGAACATAAAAAGATCAACGGATAATCTAAAGAAGTAAAAAATATTACTGGTATTAGACCCAGACTACCATTATAATGCCCGAACATTCTCGAAGTTTTATTGAAAAGAATGTACCGCAAATGATAGTCTGTATGTTTATGTGTAGGATATAAGACCGATAATGTATGTTTATCTTATGTGTTAGCAAAAAAGCGATATGTTTACTTAAGTGAACTGGATTAAACGCTTTCTAATTAAAAGGAGTAAATATCGCGCGGCTTCATTAATCCACAAAGTTCCTTCTGTTCTCCGCCGCCACCAAGTAGCGGTTGTCTCTACTTTGTGTCCCCGACAGTAAGGCGAGGTAAAGCTTCGGCGTCCCGTCTCCGTTCTTTGTAGACTTCAGATGCAGGAGCAATATTTATGATTGTTTATTGCGTGAAATCTACACCGCCAAAAGCGAAGAGGTTATCAAGAGAGCACGCAGAGAGCGACCTTCGGTAGAAAAATGAGCCAAGGGGGAAAATGGGAAAATATCAGTCACTGAAAAAAATAATAGAAGGCCAAAGAAAAGTATAAAAAGGAGCAAGAAACTCGCTTGCAAAGCTGATATATTTTATATATCTATATAGGCCTATATTTTGTTTAAAAATATAACAAGGAACTGTTGAAATTTGAATGTTATAACTTTAAAATAAATTCAATTTATTGTTCACAAGATATATTTAAAACAAACGGTAGTGAAATAAATACTACCAATTGTTTCGTTTTAAA